TACCCTTTTAGATAAGAATTTTCCCGTTTACTTTAGATTTTCTACTTTTTACTGTTGACTTTCTGCTTTTTACTCTAGATTGCATTTTGAACCCGATACCCCGCCATATGGACGAACATGATAATATTCTTATATAGTAAGTGCACCACACACGGCAAACTCACGGACAAGACATACTTTACAGGACAGATATTTCAAACAATAATAAAAAAACTGTATAATCAAGAGAATAGATCCGTGAACTGGCCGTAAAAGTTATTATTCTGTTTTTTCAGTGTTTGATATAGAGCTACTTTTTGACTTTTAAAACCATAACTTTTCCGAATCAACATATAGATCTATATTTGCGCAATACCGATGCTGTGCTTTCCGTAACACGTCAAGGTCTCATGGATGTATTGGCGTGAGCAAAAGAAGTAAAAGTATTAATATAGATATTATTCCTTTTACAGAGGAAGTGTTTTAGCAGTTTTTTTTTTAATAAGGTGTGAACAAAAAACAGATAATTATGTGGGCCCCGGACAAATTTAGGTCACGGGCGAATTTGGGTCATTTAGCTTCCGGGAGAATTTGAACCCCTGGTGAATTTGGACCACTAGCGAATTTGCGCCCCGGGCGAATTCAACCCCTGCGAATTTGGGCCCATGTTGAATTTGGTCCCGGGCCAAGCCGGGTATCCTGCAAGCTATTGATAAAATGAGCAATGGGAATTGAATATTAATGGGTGGTCAGCGTCCGGTGTAGGTCGAGAAAGTTCCTCGAGACTTTCCACCATGGAGACTTTCCAGCTTGGTTTCCCTTGTCAGTGATGCACGACGACGAAACGGCTGATATTTCTTTCAAGCAAAAGACTTAAATTGTAAGTTCGGAAGACTTCGAATTAGCTATAATCTTCTGTGATAACAAATGTAATGCGTTTAGCCCGATCCAGATTACATATAATCCTTCAGCTAATTCTCTTGGTTGGTTAGGTTTTGCAGGACGGAGGGGCTGACAAGGAAAGCTGTCTAGTCGTTCGGATGGGACGGAAATCCGAGGTCCCGTGTACACATTGGCGTGCACGTAAAAGATCCCTTGGCAGTTGGAATTCGATATAAGAGTAGGCCGTAGTGCCGCTGTCCGGGCAAAATTTCCCTCATAGCACACTGTATGGCGTATGCCCGTCTTCATTAGCCCAGGTTAGGAGCAGAACAGTAGGACGTTAAACCTCATTTCATTTCATTTCATTTGGTTAGGTTTTAGGTACACTTCCACTACCAACATTATACAACGACTTTAAATTTACAAAAATATCCACCAGACTGTTGAACAATACGGCAAACTGTATGAATTGACAATGAATATAAAACTTGACGAATAATCAATACACATAACCCTACAACATATTTGAATAATGTGATTTAGGCCTATTCAGTCATACACTTTATTATGAATCAAGAATGATTAATACACCGTCTATAAATGGGCGTGGGGGAGCCACGGTGATTAAATGGGTAAGATCCTGGCTCGCTAGCCTGGAGGTCATCGAGATTGTTCGGCGTGGTTTCCCCTTGTCAGTGGTGCAGGACGGAGGGCCTGACAAGGAAAGCTGTCTAGTCAATCGGAGGGGATTAAAAACCGAGGTACCGTGTAAAATACCCCTTGGCAGTTGGAATTCAATATGGGTAGGCCGTAGCGCCGCTGTCCGGGCACAATTTCCCTCATAGCACACTATATGGTCTTCATTAGCCCAGTCGGAGCAGAACAGTAGGGCGTTAAACTCCATTTCATTTGATTTCATTTCTCAACCGTTAGCCATAAGATCCATACATGAATCGCTTCTTGCATCATTTAGGGGCATCCTGTGGGCGCCCCATGCGTTCTTCGGGAAGTCCATTATTTTTATATCAAGATTGGGTGTCTCTACTTTCCATGATATATACCAAATATGCCATACTTTTATTGGAAATAATTAACTACCATCTAAATACCTTCATTGGAATTATTGGAAATAATTAACTACCATCTAAATACCTTCATTGGAATGTATCTTTAAGCGGGGGGGGGGGCTGAATGGTTAGCGTGCGCGCGCTGTATCATAAACTCTGTCATCGAGTCGACTGGCGTGGTTTCGAATCCCCGGTTGTACGTGACAAGGAGTAGGGTCGCCTGTCCAACCTCGTGGGTTTTCTCCGTGTCCTCCGGTTTTCTCCCACTGCTAAAGACCCCTATGCGCAAGCGAATTATTGAAATAAAATTAAAACCATATGGTAGGCCCGAAATGACCTAGTTTGTGTCGAGTGGACGTTAAACCCCATCTCTCTCTCTCTCTCTCTCTTTAAGCGGGTATATCACTTTGTGCCTTTGACCTACACACAAGCATATTATATGCCGAGTCGTGCAAATGGTTAGCATAACTAAACACAGCCATGTCCTACAAACCTCGGTCGAAATGAAGAAAGGCGCGGATTCCATTGGGGTGGGGCGAGTGCAGTGGTGCCTCTTTTTTTCTAACGGCTTTCTTGTCTACCGAAAATATCGGTGGTGGGTGCGGTGGGATGTGTTTGTGTGTTGGGGGGGGGGGCATGTTTTCACTACAATTTAAACATGCATTATGCAAGAGCAAAATCTGCTTATTACAAGTCTTTCTTTTGTCTAATTATCAATTAGACATTAATTAACTTATCCAGACCATAATAAACTCTCGATGTCAAGGCTAGCCTTCGATGTTGGCTGGATTAGATTCCTATATGCCGCTAATGGCCGTTGATAATTAAATCATAAAAAGTGGATAATCGAGACTATGCTGTTTATATTAATGATTTTAGTAATGATGACCGAGACTATGCCAAAATTTCACCCGCTTATCAATTAGACATTAATTAACTTATCCAGACCATAATAAACTCTCGATGTCAAGGTTAGCCTTCGATGTTGGCTGGATTAGATTCCTATATGCCGCTAACGGCCGTTGATAATTAAACATGCATTATGCAAGAGCAAAATCTGCTTATTACAAGTCTTTCTTTAGGCCTGAAATGTTATCTAAATTATCAATTAGACATTAATTAACTTATCCAGACCATAATAAACTCTCGATGTCAAGGCTAGCCTTCGATGTTGGCTGGATTAGATTCCTATATGCCGCTAATGGCCGTTGATAATTAAATCATAAAAAGTGGATAATCGAGACTATGCTGTTTAAATTAATGATTTTAGTAATGATGACCGAGACTATGCCAAAATTTCACCCGCTTATCAATTAGACATTAATTAACTTATCCAGACCATAATAAACTCTCGATGTCAAGGTTAGCCTTCGATGTTGGCTGGATTAGATTCCTATATGCCGCTAACGGCCGTTGATAATTAAACATGCATTATGCAAGAGCAAAATCTGCTTATTACAAGTCTTTCTTTAGGCCTGAAATGTTATCTAAATTATCAATTAGACATTAATTAACTTATCCAGACCATAATAAACTCTCGATGTCAAGGCTAGCCTTCGATGTTGGCTGGATTAGATTCCTATATGCCGCTAACGGCTATTGATAATTAAATCAATAAAAGTGGATAATCGAGACTATGCTGTTTATATTAAGGATTTTAGTAATGATGACCGAGACTATGCAATAATTTCACCTGCTTCTTTCTCGGCTCATAGTGGATCAATTTGACTGAAATTTTCAGCAAATTACCTTTACACTATCTAGTTTTTAACTATTATAGCGAGAACTGCCCTCATCAATGTATTTAGTCAATTCTGCATACATAAACTTGCACCTGCATTTGACATTTAGGGTTGTGGTAATACTATACATTTTCCCAAACATTTTTTGACTGTCAGACCAGTTGATTAAATTACCGGGTTAGTGTTATTAAATGATAAGACCAGCTCAATTTTTCGTCATCTAGGTCACGAGATGTAAACAGGGCTAGGGCTAATCGAACAGGAACCAGAAATGAAATGAAATGGGGTTTAACGTCCTACTGTTCTGCTTGTAACCTGGGCTAATGAAGACGGAGTGTGCTATGAGGGAAATTTTGACCGGGCAGCGGCGCTACAGCCTACTCTTATATCGAATTCCAACTGCCAAGGGATCTTTTACGTGCACGCCAATGTATACACGGGACCTCCATCCTGCATCACTGACAAGGGGAAACCCGGGCCGCCGGGAAATCTGAATGAACTTTCTCGGCCAATGCAACGATCGAACACCCGACCTCCAGACTAGCGAGCCAGCGTCTTAGTCACGTGATCCCCAACAGCAACCAGGATACAGACCGAATAATTGGGGGATTAAAATATAACTGTGTTTATATATATATATATATGTAAACATAAAAAAATCCATACTATAATATTGCTTCAAAAGAACTTCTATTCTATTCTAGGCTATTCTATTCTATTCTTATCTACTCTATACTTTGGGGATCACGTGGCGAAGTGGGTAAGACGCTATAGCTCGCTAGCCTGGAGGTCGGGTGTTCGATCCCTGCATTGGCCGAGAAAGTTCATCCAGATTTTCCTTCGTGGTTCTCCCTTGTCAGTGATGCAGGACGGAGGGGCTGACAAGGAAAGCTGTCTAGTCGTTCGGATGGGACGAAAAACCGAGGTCCCGTGTACACATTGGCGTGCACGTAAAAGATCCCTTGGCAGTTGGAATTCGATATAAGAGTAGGCCGTAGTGCCGCTGTCCGGGCAAAATTTCCCTCATAGCACACTGTATGGTGCATGCCCGTCTTCATTAGCCCAGGTTAGGAGCAGAACAGTAGGACGTTATAAAACTCCATTTCATTTCATTTCACTCTACTCCTATAATGTCACAAAATCTGTTTTAATGTAACTATGGACTAATGTTTGTCTCGGAGAAAACCACAAGAAAGAATAATGATCCACCAAAATAAATTTGCCATGATACGTTTGGCCACACTTTGGTTTTGCATCAAAGCCTTTTAAAACTGTATCCGCCCTCTTATGCTTCTAGTTTCTAAACTGGGTTATTTCCGCTGAACTTTTTGTTGCCAGTTCGTACACGCAAGCATCGAATAGTCTACGCTACTATATGAGTTGGTCTACAATGTTCTTAAAACCGAAATTGGACATTGAAGATATACAGCGACTGGTTTTAAAAGTGTACGGATTAAAGGTTTTATCGGTGGAAAATCTAGACAGCTATGACGATAAAAATTATCACATCGGAGTCGTCGAAACTGTTGATGGGAACTGTAAGATAACCAGGACCGATCGACATGGATACACCTTAAAAATTCTCAATACAGTTTCTTCTCAGAAAACTGCTGCAATAGGTCTGTAGGCTGTCTTATCGTTACATCACGTGGCAGATTATTTCCGTGTGTTTCATGAGATAATCGTAATGTAGTTTTATAGGCTACGTGGGTCATGATTCCCACACTGCATTGTAAATATCTCAATCAAATTGTTAATCTAGATCTCTGCATCTTTTATTTTAAAATGTAGCATATGTATTTGTGCGACAAAAAATAAATGAAATGTTTAAAATAAAAGTTTTTTAAGCTGAAGAACAAGTGGTGTATGGAGCGGAATTCCAACTACTAATCTAGTAAATAAATATACTATCTCCCAATGTATGGAGCAGAATTCTAACAACTTCCTTGTAATTATGAAGGCAATGATTGTTAATTCAATGCATGTGTGATAAGTTACCCAAATCTACCCAATATATCAACTCATATGACACTAATTTATATCGATATTTGATAATGTACCATAATTCTTTATTCCAAATTGACAAATTTAATTCAAATCTTAATGTTTATATTTTTGTGCTAAGATGCGATTTCCATGATTTTGTTTGAATACAAGTTGAAATTACAAAAAGTCACAATAATTAGCAGTTATATAATATTTTTAGTATAAATTTGTATTTTATTCTAATTTCATTATTACTTTTAATTTACTGTCATTTTATGTCCCCTGCCTTTTAATTGGTCGAGACTTTTGGAGCTTGACAGCTTTAATTCTAATTGAGTGATAGTGGTGAATCTTTGTGTATATAGTTTCATTACATCAATCAATACCTTACTTAACCAAGTTTGATGCTAAGCATTTTCTGCTTAGGTAAAGTAGAGTCTTCAATCTGATTGGTCAAGAAATTGGAACACAATAACCCTACTTCTAAGTGATGTAGATGTAGGTGTCTATTAGGTGAATGCCTTGACAGAGATTGATCATGCGTTAAGTTAAGCAGAAATAAGCAATTTGATTGAGACCATGGTTCACACAATAATTTGGCTGTAATTGGGTGAGAGAGATGAAACTCAAAGTATAGATTCATCATCACCTTGACTAAGTTCGATGATGAAAATTTTCTGCTTAGGCCAAGTAGCGATAAGCAGTTTGATACGTCAAGACTTTGGAACATAACAACTCTGATTTTAATTGAGGTACAATGTTTAAACTTGATGTAAATGTTCATTAGGTGAATGAGTTCAATGATTAACATTTTACGCTGTCTGACAATAATTTCCCTCATGTCACATTGTATGGCATATACTTGTCTTCATTTACCCAGTCACATGAGAACAGTATGATGTTAAATAAACCGCATTTCATTTCATATCATTTCCATTTTCATTTTCAATATATTCAGATATTCAACATACTATGATAGAGGAAGTATCAAGAATAGGAATAAAAACACCAAAACCCCAGCCTAATCTAAAGGGAGATAACTGGTCGATGGAATTATTAAAATCAGAAGGTAAGTATATATATATATATAAGCTGGGTCTTTTTTAACCAAACGATGTAGGGTGAATTCAGCTCCTGCCTTTAAATGCAACAACAGTTTATTGTGGTCAAATGTCCATTTTAAATTGGATCATGTCTGTATTTTCTAATAATGATATTAGTGGACAGTATCAGTGAGTAGTACAGATTGTGTTAATGACTTTTAAACCAGACCTGTCATTGAGTCAACTGGCCTGGCTGGTTTTCGATTCCCCAGTTGTACGTGACAAGGAGTAGTGTCGCCTGTCCAACCTCGAGGGTTTTCTCTGAGTCCTCCGGTTTCCTCCCACTGCTAAAGACCCCTAGGCCTACGCGCAAATGAGTTATTGAAATAAAATTTCCCGAAATGACCTAATTTGTGTTGAGTGGACGTTAAACCCCATCTCTCTCTCTCTCTCTCTCTCTCTCTCTCTCTCTCTCTTTCTCTTTCTTTAAACCAGACTTTCAACAGTATTTAAAGAACAACAACAAAGGGGGTGTTGGGCAGCACCACTGCCTTAAAGACATAGCTGTTGGTGCATAAGCTGGTGCAGGTTGACAGTAACTAGCAACTCTTTCAATCAAATTAAAATCTTATATTATTTTTATACGCCCACATTGTAATGTGGTTGTATATTGTCCTCACCCCCGTCCGTAGGTCCGGCCGGCCGGCGTCCACAATTGCTTGTGGACACTCTAGAGGCTAAAGTTAATATCCGATTGACTTTAAATATATATACATTGTTTAAGGCCATGAAACGAAGAATCCTATTGATTTTCAGCGATTTCCGATAATTACTGCCAGAGTTATGGCCCTTGATCACTTCAAAAAATCTTGTGGACGCTCTAGAGGGTAAAGTTAATATCCGATTGACTTTGAATTTATACACAGTGTTTAAGGTCATGAAACGAAGAAGCCTATTGATTTTCAGCGATTTCCGATAATTACTGCCAGAGTTATGGCCCTTGATCACTTCAAAAAATCTTGTGGACGCTCTAAAGGTCAAAGTTGATATCCGATTGACTTTAAATTTATACACAGTGTTTAAGGTCATGAGACGAAGAAGCCTATTGATTTTCAGCGATTTCAGATAATTACTGCCAGAGTTATGGCTCTTGATCACTTTGAAAAATCTTGTGGACGCTCTAGAGGCTAAAGTCAATATCCGATTGACTTTAAATTTATACACAGTGTTTATGGTCATGAGACAAAGAAGTCTATTCATTTTCAGTGATTTTCGATAATTACTGTTACAGTTATGGGCCTTGATCACTTTGAAAAATCTTGTGACACTCTAGAGGCTAAAGTTATCATCCGATTGACTTCAGATTGATACACAGAGTTTAAGAGCTTGAGACGAACAAGTATATTGATTTTCAATGAATTTTTATGACTTGAACAGCTAAATCCATGATATTAAAAGTTTTGTATACTAAACGTTAGCATGGGGCAGAACTTTATAAAAAAACAAACAAATTCTAATGGTTTTCTGATGACTTCATGAGTTGTTACTCTTAATCAGATTTTAGTGTATTATAAATGTTTCATTACCGAAAGAAGTACAAATATGCGACAACACTTGTTGACTGCCCGGACGATTTAGCTGCTGTGGGCGTATGTTTCGTTGCCCGGCAACCTATCTTTGTTATGTGTGTACTCAGATGGTCACTCACTTGAAATCTAAGACATGCCTATAAGAGAGATAGGGTTTAACATCCATTTGACATAAACTGGGTCATTTTGGGACTAACATGGTTCAATATGATTTCAATAATTTGCTAGCGCTTAGGAGTCTTTAGCAGTGGGAGGAAACTGGTGGACCCGGAAAAAACCCATGAGGCTGGACAGCTGACCCTACTCCTTGCAACGTACAAGCCAGGAATTGAAACCACACCACTTGACGCAAGTCGGCCACCAAACCCCCAGACCAAGATGAAATGATCAAAATACCGAAAGATAAAATGTAACAAAATGTCGAGCACTGTAATTTTAAATAGACTTTTTGTGTGTGTATTTTGTGAGTTCCGCCTTTAAGCCTGGATGTTACGATGGCTCACTGAGTAAGACGCTGGCTCGCTAACCAGGCAAATTTCCCTGTGATTTTTCGGCTTCATTTCCCATTGTCAGAGTTGCAGGAATTAGGGCCTGGAAAGGATGGGACAAAAACCAAAATCTGTGAAGTTCAAAGTTAACAAAAGTTGGCTGTAGTGCCACTGTCCAGCTGCACAGGCAAAATGGGAAATGTATAGCATATGCCCGTCTTCATTAGCCCTGTTCTTGCAGAAAAGTAGGACGTTAAACCCCATTTTCATTTCATTTTGTATTTAAGCCATTTCATTTTGTATTTAAGCCATTTCATTTTGTATTTAAGCCATTTAAAGCCAGGACTTTCACTTCAAAGTCAATCAAGACTGATAAATATGAGTGAAATGAGAGCTCTGTTTGTTGTTTTATTCAGATGGTAACAACTGGTTTTTAGTTCGTCTGTTCAACTATGTACCGGGTACTTTGCTGCAGTCGGTTCCTGTGACTCTGGATCTCTGTTACCAGATTGGTGAATGTGCTGGAAAAATGGACGTAGCACTAAAGGTATTGTAATATTTGTGACTTACTATGATGAACTACCAAACACTTGTAGATGAGCTGTAGTAAAAGAGAGAAATGGGGTTTAACGTCCACTCGACACAAACTAGGTCATTTCGGGACTAACATATGATTTAATTTTATTTCAATAATTCGCTTTAGCAGTGGGAGGAAACCGGAGGACACAGAGAACACCCACGAAGTTGGAATGGCGACCTTACTCCTTGTCACGTACTGAGAGAGAGAGAGAAATGGGGTTTAACGTCCACTCGACACAAACTAGGTCATTTCGGGACTAACATATGGTTTAATTTTATTTACATAATTCGCTTGCGCGTAGGGGTCTTTAGCAGTGGGAGGAAACCGGAGGACCCGGAGAAAACCCTCGAGGTTGGACAGGCGACCCTACTCCTTGCCACGTACAACCGGGGATTCGAAACCACGCCAGTCGACTCAATGACAGACTTTATGATACAGCGCGCGCACGCTAACCATTCAGCCATCCAACCCCCCTTGTCACATACAACCGGGGATTCAAAACCACACCAGTTGACTCAATGACAGGCTTTATGATACGGCGCGCACGTGGTAACCATTGGGCCATCCAACACCCCTGTAGTAAGAGCTGTTTGGTAGTTGTATAATAAGTGACTCTTTTAGTGTCAGTTACTTCACTGATAATTACATGACCTTTTGGTGCAACAGTGTCTTATAAAATATATTGCTGTATCACGGTTGGAAACAACATTTTGAGTTGTACATGAAATGAAATGAAATGGAGTTTAGCGTCCTACTTTTCTCCATCACTAGCTCGCTAGCCTGGAGGTCGGGGGTTCGATCCCTGCATTGGCCGAGAAAGTTCATCCAGATTTTCCGGCATGGTTCCCCCATGTCAGTGATGCAGGACGGATGGCCTGACAAGGACAGCTGTCTAGTCGTTTGGATGGGATGAAAAACCGAGGTCCCGTGTACACGTTAACGTGCATGTAAAAGATCCCTTGACAGTTAAAATTCGATATAAGAGCTGGCCGTAGTGCCGCTGTCCGGGCAAAATTTTCCTCATAGCAGCCTGGGTCTGGAAGGACAATAAATGTAAGATGTAAAATATATTGTAATTTCTTATTGATTATGTTTGGTGAAATATGTGAATAGTCCAAATTCAGTCATGGTCTCTGTCATTGAGTCAACTAGTGTGGATTCGATTTCCTGGTTGTACGTGACAAGGAGTAGGGTTGCCTGTCCAATCTCTTGTCCTCCGGTTTCCTCCTACTGCCTAAGACTCCTGCACGCAAGTGAATTAGTGAAATAAAATGGAACCATATGTTTGTCCCAAAATGACCTAGTTTGTGTCGAATGGACGTTAAACCCCATTTCTCTCTCTCTCTCTCTCTCTTCTCTCCCCCATATTTTCACAGCCATATAACATTCAAACTTTATAGATAATGAAACACAAGAGTTATTTGGAAAACAATTACTCTATTTTAATTGGGAGCTTCGTTTCTATCGAGTTAGAGGTTTGCTCCTTTAATAAGGGAAGGTCTAATCATTGAGTCAAGCGGTGTGGTTTTGAGTGACAAGGAGTAGAGTTGCCTTCCAACCTTGTGGGTTTTCTCCGGGTCCTCAGGTTTCCTCCCACTGCTAAAGACCCATATGTGCAAGCAAATTATTAAAATAAATTTGAACCATGTTTTAGTCCCGAAATGACCTAGTTTGTGTTTGTTGATTGGGTTTTATACTGTCTGGTTATGTGATATTATACGTTTTGTTTCGTATTTTCATATTATATACCATATATGCAGGTTTTATACTGTCTATTTATGGGGTGGTGGGGTGTGGGGGGGGGGGGATGGCCGTATGGTTAGCGCGTGAGCGTTGTATCATAAGGTCTGTCACTGAGTCAACTGGTGTGGTTTCGATTCCGTGGTTGTAATTGACAAGGAGTAGGGTTGCCTGTCCAACTTTGTGGGTTTTCTCCTGGTCCTCCGATTTCCTCCCACTGCTAAAGACCCCTACACGCAAGCAAATTATTGAAATGAAATGGAACCATGTGTGAGTTCCAAAATGACCTAGTTTGTGTTTGTTGAGTGTACTTAGACTCTCTCCCTTTTTAATTGTGGCATCTGGCTAGAAAAGATGTAAAGGTTACAGAGGACAGTTGTCATAAAACTGTGATTTCAATTTGTCACAGGAATGTAGTTTAAACAATGAAGCACGATTTTTAATTATAACATTGATCATAAATTGTTGACCATAAAAGAAATAGATATACATTGTCCGTCAATTTTACAACCTTGAGAACACTTCCCGCCCCCCTCATTGCTCTGGGCTAGTTATGGCCCTGCAAGTAATTTGGGCTAAATTTTATATTGGGGGAATAGTGCAGTAGTTATATAGGTAGTTTGGTGGATAGTGCACTTGATTGTTATCCTAAGCGTAAATTATAAATCTAATAATTGTGAATATATGACAGTAAAATCAAATATTGCATGTAAATAGAATATTAATAACAAAAATGCATACAGAAGCTCAAATATTTTTGTTTTTTCAACTTCCTATTTTTACTTTTAATTTTAAAAAATCATTTCTATTCTTAATTTTTGATTTTTTAGAATATTAAATTAATTATTAATTTTTGTTTTGAATTTACAATATTGTCAGATTAATTTTTAATTCCGTAAATTAATTTTTATTTATAATTTTGAACTTACAGTTTTATATTTTGTATTTTAATTTCCATTTTGAAAATAATTTATATTTATCTTTTGAAAAACAATTTCTATTTCTCTCAAGCACCATTTAGCAAACCTGGGCTGATTCTGTGATCTTTATCATGTCATGTAGCTCGCCAGTTCGATGTAGCTTGATATGCATCTCCGCTTTCCACCTGACGTTTGGTACGGTCGTAGGTTTACTGATTAGGAAAACTTGTCACTTAACAAAAAATAGTTCTTAAAATGGCATCGTTAGGAGATTTACCGTGCATAGTCGCAAGATTCTATAGCCGAGGTCAGATGGAAGTATCAAAATAGCAGAGGTAAGCAGAATGTACAGGCGACAGGGAAATGAAATGGTGTTTAACATCCTACTGTTCTGCTCCAACAGAGCTAATGAAGAAGGGCATACACCATTCAGTGTGCTATGAGGGTAATTTTGCCCAGACAGGACCTTTTTTTTTCGTCCCATCCGAACGATACGTTATCCCTTGCCAGGCTCTTGATAATTCTTGTGTTCTTGGGGGTGAGGGGGTTGGGGGTAGTCTAGTTGTTTAGTGTGTGTGCATGAAACTATAAGATCTGTCATTAAGTCAAGTAGAGTGGTCTGAGCTGGATCAAGATCCACAGAGGCTCTAAGATTTTGGTGCTCCCATATGTAATTCAAAATTGAAAGAATAATAAACCACAAACAACGGCCAAGCATGTGAATAGAGTTTTTATACGCCCACATTTTCATGTGGACGTATTATGCCGTCGCCCCTGTCCGTCCGTCCGTCCACAATTTGTGGACTCTCTAAAGGCCACAATTCTTATCCGATTTTGACGAAACTTGAAATTTAGGTTTATCCCCAAAAGATCTCGGCTGCTTTCGATATTGGCATGTATCGGATCGAAACTTCATGGATTATGGCCCTTGATTGTACGAAAAATCACGTTTTCAGCTTGTGGACCCTATAGAGGTCACAATTTTTATCCGATTTTGTTGAAACTTGAAATGTTAGTTTATAAAACAAAGATCTCGGTTCCTTTCGATACTCGCGCACATCGGACCGTAACTTCATGAATTATGGCCCCTTTGTACGACAAATCGCGTTTTTAGCTTGTGGACCATATAGAGGTCATAATTTTTATCCTATTTACAAAAACGTTTTATTATATCACCATTAAACCCTAATGACGGTTGAGTTTGAATTTCGTGAAAATCGGCCCAAAACTGACAGACAAAATGGCCGGCCTTCGTTCTCAAATAGCGTAAAAATATGGTATATCAAGGTTGTGGACCCTATAGAGGTCACGATTTTTATCCGATTTTGTTGAAACTTAAAATATAAGTTTTTAACCCAAAGATCTCAGTTCACTTCGATATTCGCAGGTATCGGACCGTAACTGAATGAATTATGGCCCCTGATTGTACGAAAAATCGCGTTTTTAGCTTGTGGACCCTATAGAGGTCATAATTTTTATCCGATTTAAAAAAACGTATAATGATATCACCGTTACATTCTAAGGACGGCTGAGTTTGAATTTCGTGAAAATCCGCCTTAAACTGACAGAAAAAATGGCCTCCCCTCGTTCTCAAATTGCGTAAAAATATGGTATATTAAGGTTGTGGACCCTATAGAGGTCACAATTTTTATCCGATTTTGTTAAAACTTGAAATGTAAGTTTATAACCCAAAGATCTTGGTTCCTTTCGATATTTGCGCATATCGAATTGTAATTTCCTGAATTATGGCCCTTGATTGTAGGAAAAATCACTTTCGTTTTAGCTTGTTTTCTATCCATGTCTCGAAAATGTGGGCGTATCCTGCCTGGCAGCCGCTGGTTCTGTGATTTTATTAATTGCTACAAAACAGGTAACAGTATGAAAAGACAAAAAAACAATTTGAAAATTAAAATTTTAAAAATAAATATTTTAGATATTGCATCTAACAAAGCAGAAATTATGTGGTGCCCGCAGAACCATGATGCTCAAAGCACATGCTTATTTTGCTTAATGATTAATCTGGCACTGAACATAGTTTCAATTCTCGCTTGTATGTGAGTGTGCACAGGTTTTTTCCGGGTCCCTCAGTTTCCTACCACTACTGAAAACCCTTATGTGGAAGCGAATTATTGAAATAAAATTGAACCATATATTAGTTCTGAAATGATCTAGTTTGTGTTGAGTGGATGTTATACCCTATTTCTCTCTCTTTTCTTGTGGAGGGAGTTGGGGGGTGGGGGTGGGGGTGCCTAAGATTCCACTAATTACGATTGACATGAAGTATAATGTAAAAAAACAGAACTTAAAGCAGAAAAGAGACAAAAAAGACATCACTCAAAAGTAGCACAATTCCAAAATGGCTGCAATGATGTCATACCCATTCCCTGGTTCCTATAGTAGGATTGTATTTGCTTTTTATGCTTGCTCCACCAAACGGTAGAACATGGCTACCCTTCAGGAACAAGGATTCGTCTACGATTATTATTCCTTTTTTAATTGTAGAATGTTAGCAGACCTATTGGTTGGGAATGTGAATTTAGTCACTGGAGTATGGAAGTAATACCTGAATTATTACAACATTTACATCCTATTAAAGATGGCGATGATAGACATTTACTACAAACAGTTATACAAGAATTTGATTCAAAGGTTCTGTCCTGTTACGAAAAATTTCAAAAAGGTCAGTGCCTCTATTTTAAAACAATGGCTAGTTATACGTACTGTCATCACACTGTTAAAATGCCTTTGGTTTGAAAAGGTTCCATATAAAAATAGGGAACCAAACGATCACAGAGGTGAGCTCGGACAAATGGATGGGGCATCCAGAGGGAGCCTAATAAATGAAGATTTTCCCCTTTGTGATGCCCCAAGATCAGTTCCCACCCCCCCACTTCAGCTCTAGACAGCTGTGTGCATATAAATATGATGTCCATGCACTGTGATATCACCACATATGGACACAGCTCACCAAATATTTCTACGCAGTCACCCACTAATGTAGGGCGAAAGTTATTTTTAGTCTTTCTCTCCCTTTTCCTTTTTCGAATAAAAGGGTTTGAACATATATTTTCTGCCAGGTTTTGGTGAATATTCATGATTTTTAGGCGGAAGGATACAAGAGTTGAGAGGTTGGTTAGATTGAAATTTAGGGTAAAAAATTGCATGTTTTTTTACTTGTTTCCACTTCCAGCTTGTGTATCTCAAGTTTTCTATGGAGAACCTCATACATGCTTTTGGGCAAGAGGTTGCCACATGTTGCTCCATCTGTGGTAGAAAGCGTTCTACCCAACAAAAATTTGGGAAAAAGTTAGAGCCGGTCTAAGAGACGAGAATTAACATTAAAGTCAATGGGGAAATCATTAGTGATCTTTGGCCTGTCTTGATTTTCAATGATTTCAGAGTTATTCCCCTTTATGATAAAATCTTTTTAGCACTGTCAAATTTTCAATTATGATCTGATCGTTCTGAAATTTATTTTGACTGTCCACCTACTGAAGTGAAATGAAGATTGTTTTTTTTTTTTAACAGTTTTCGATTACTTCATGAGTTATTACACTTGTTAGAAATCTTGTTAGCTTCTTAGAAATTTTAAACATGAGCGGCAATTCTTCTACTGTACTTAGAATTATGCCCACACTGACCACATTTAAGTATGCGCGTATTATGTTCTACATTTATTTTGTTTTCTTTCACAGGTTTTATCCACGGTGACATGAATGATGCAAACATCCTTGTAACTTCAAACACAGTTCACAACAATAACAAAAACAGCACAAGTGAGGAAGATTATAAGCTTGAAGCAATAATTGATTTTGGCGACTTCTCCTTTTCTTTGTATATTTTCGAAGCTGCCATTATGATGAGTTATTTGGTTTTATTAACAAAAGATTTTGATATTGTTAACGTACCAGGAAAAATTTTATCAGGGTATTTAAAATACATAACCCTTTCCGACGCAGAACTATGTTTTTTAAAACTTTGTATGTGCGCTCGATTGGCTCAAAGTATTGTAAGGGGAGCACTCAGCAATGAAAATGATGTTGGTAATACCTATACCCAGAATACCAGTATCACAGCTTGGAAAGCACTGAAAAAACTTTGGCCAGTTTCTAATGAAGGAATCCTAAAACAATGGCTAATGGTGTAGACACAATGGTGTATAGAGGTCTTGGAGGGGGGTGGGGGGAGAGAAAGCAAGAGAAAGAGATAAAAGAGTCCACTGACACAAACTAGGCCCTTTCAGGACTAACATATGGTACTATTTTATTTCAATATAGTTTGCTTGTGTGTACGGCTCTTTGGCTGTGGTAGGAAACTGGAACTGGATGATCTGGAGAAACACACAAGTTTGGACAGGCGATCCTACTCCTTGTCATATATACAAGTGGGGAATCGATAGATTCGACCACTAAAGTCCCACAGATAGCCTGCCATGAAGACTCAAGTGGGGTTTACATCATCTTGATTGAATAAGTAATACACACTTATTATTATAATGATATTTGAGTTTCATGTTAAAAGCCATTTATATCTATATATTATAGGGGTAATGTATTTGTCCTGACAGCAGTGGATGGACCTCTGTTTATCAACCCAGCCTAACAACTAAGCCCACTTTTCTCGCTAGCACTGCAGGCGAAATTGAGATGTTAGAGCTGTCTATATGTTGCATTTTATCAGTTACAAGTGGTTAAGTTCATCGCTGCTCTATAAGCGAGGATCAAATAATAGGGAGCCACAGTGGTTGAGTGATCGAGTTACGGGCTGGGCTGCTAACCATGAGGTCCTATCTTAGGGTGGCAAATAAAGTTTATCCGGATTTTCTGGCATGTTTTTATGTTTGTCAGTGGTGCAGGACAGAGGGTCATACAGTGTCTAGAAAGTTGATCAGGATTTTCTGGCATGTTTTTCTGCTTGTCAGTGGTGCATGACAGAAGACCATACAGTGTCTAATCCTTCGGATGGGACAAAAAAAAAACCCCTGAGGTTCTAATTTGGGTCACAAAATTATATAGGAAGCCACAGGAATTTTTCATAAGGATAGTTATATACACTTCTATAAATAAATATTATATGATGTGTCTGTAGTTTGGATTGATTAGTTGTTAAAAAGAATTAAATTTTCCAATCAGTAGATGAATCAAGAGAGAGGGAGAGAGAGGAAAATGAGCAGAGGGTACACTGTTAGTCAGACTGGTACTAATACAAGTGATCATTACTCTAAACTAATTTAGATATAAACTTTTAGGGGCATGTAGTTACTGGATAAAGCACAGCCTAGAATTATTAATACATATAAGCGAATATTGAATGAATTGAGTGATTAGAAGACATGTCTTTAAATGGCATTCAAAATAGACGCCTTCTCGTATTATCAGCTCATGGCATTTCTTCGTTTCGTTGTGAATTTCCCCGGTGGTTCTAATTTTTATAGCAGAAATATGTGGGAAATAAAGGAATCCAGGTCATAAGTCGCATTATCCCTTTTTTTTGTGGCGTTCGCTCTTCGCCGTTTTAAAAGAATCACAGACACCGATTGGATGGGGTGGTGCTATTCTCAACAGGATTTCAGAGTTTCGAAAAATCACACATTTCTGATTTTGATTCAGGGTGTCTAGTTCTCAAACTCAAACTGCAGTAGTAGGCCTACTACTTTCTGTTATTTTTCGAGAATTTACTACGGTTACTGTTCATTTTTTTCGCGTGCTGCCGCCATATTTTTCAGGAAAAAATGATAAAACATAGGCCGTTATAATGATCAATGAATACAACACAAGAAATGAAGAGGCATTAACATAACTAATTATCCTTTCCAAGAATGAAATTCAAATTCTGTGAATTAAAAAAAAACATCCATAGCTTTACTTTCAATTTCATTCTGTTAGATTCGCAGAAGAAAGGTGTGTAATTGGTATGTTTTCCTTGAAAAAATCCTCAACCTCAGTTTTAAACGTTTCAGGTGTGTGTTACATAGTGTGTAATATTTGAGATGCCCCCATCCATTCTAGTACCAACATGGCGGAATTATTTCAAGACTGGAATCAAAGTGACAAATTTCAGAACTTTGAGCGAGTCTTAATCCATTGTCAATTGCACATTCTAATGTAAAATGAATGGTATTGACGAAATTGTAAATTATTGTACGGTGTTGATTCAAGCTAAAGTGTGTTTAGGCACGACAGCCTCAAGTATAAATATAGGATTATCAATATTGAAATTGGTCAAGGCTTTGCGTCATTGCCCTATATTTTTTTTAAATGAAGTTCGCAATTAAAATTTCGAACAGTTTTGCAGTAAATGTGATAACACATTAGAGGTATGTGATATATTGTTATACTTCTTTTTGAAATTTTTAGTAAATCGGAATCTTTTGTTTACAGGAGATAAGATTTTATATTTAAGAGAATAATAGTTAAATTGGAATTCATTGCACACATTCATTGTCGTTTCTTTAGAATTCATAAAATAATTCATCTATTACTTGTTAGCTTTAAATATACATTTCCACGAAAGTATTTATTACGTATTTATTTCCAATAAAAGTATGACAAATTTGGTGTATTTCCTGAAAAAAAAAACACCATAGGGCACGCACAGGGCATCATGCGATGTAATATTATAGAGAGAAATGGAGTTTAACGTCCATTCGACACAAACTAGGTCATTTCGTGACTAACATATGGTTCAGTTTCATTTCAATAATTCGCTTGCGCGTAGGTGTCTTAGCAGTGGGAGGAAACCGTAGGACCAGAAGAAAACCCAAGAGGCTGGACAGGCGACCCTACTACTTGTCGCGTACAACCGGGGAATCGAAACCACGCCAGTTGACTCAATGACAGACCTTATGATGCAACACACACGCGCTAACCATTCGGCCACACAATCCCCAGACTTAATTAGACGTGCTTGGTATGACGCGTTGATGGAATTACTGCTAGCGGGTGTGAGAACAGTGAGAGACTTCAAGAGTTGGCCAGTCAAAATCACTGTTGGAATTTTGGACTAGAAATAGGCATCAACTGTCTCCGCAGTGTCTCCAAGAATTGCCGGTCGTTTGATTGACAGACGATAACTCCACCCACATATTCTCGATTATCAAATAACATTTTCAATGGCTACGGTACCCTGGATTGTCAGTCATTTCATCGGCAGCAAATAATCCAAGAATTTATTGGAATGGCAGTGCACAAGATCAGCTCGCGGAACATTATTTTTTTCTCTTCTGACTTCACACCAAATGAGATTTAGAACTACAAATAAATTGATTTTTTATAATTCTATCGACATAATTTCCAAATAATGTGTTTAAATACTTACACACAGATTGAACAATTAAAATATATTAATATGTACATATCACATTTTAAAACACGAATCTCTAATTCACAAATAAATATGTCTCTTGGAAACATTTCAAATAAATATCAATGTCTTGGAAACATTTCTGAAAGCTTTCTTTTGAGCAATTTCATTCCTTGCAATTTCACACTTTCATTGTTGTGTTTATATTTTACCGACATTTTCTATTTCTTTTGTAACGTCATTCATTAACGTTTGTCAGACGTAAATGTCTTAGTAATAAAATATCACTTTCACACTACAACATTAAAACAGTTACACACCTTTAATAACATTATCTATTATCATATAGGTCTATTATTATCATCTTTTGAATTTTACGTGATTTGTGACGACATTTATCAGATTGCAAAGAATGAAAAGAAAATTAATTTTTTTAAATTTGAAATCATGCTGTTAACTTTGTTGAACAGGCTGTCCTATTTAATTAGAATAAAAAGTTTATGTCATCTATCTTTTTTTTATCACATCCTTTCTTGTAGCATACCAAACTTACAAAATTACAATATCTTGTTTTCTCATTCTTGAGATTGGGTTCATGCTCTTGGATTTTATTTATTATTTATGAGATTGACTATGTCAAAAGCTAAACCAAACTACAATCTAGACTTCTATATCATGACACACACACTCGTATAGTAAGAGCAGGAGGGCTACACCAAACACAAACAAATATACAAGACTATTCTACGGACAAGGCACAGTATACAGACATCACAATCAACAAACACATCAGATCAGGTGTTCATGTTAATCATATAGTCTCATATAATGCTGATGTTTCAGATCTAAAACATAACACACAATTGTTCATAGTCATGGATTTCATTAACTATTATTTATGAGAATGACAATCTAGACTTCTATAATGGCACAAACACACATGTAATCATCCTAAAATAGTCTCACATAATTCTGATGTTAGCGATCTAAAGCATAGCTCATAATTTCAGACAGGGATGGAAATGCGTTCATACTAGACAACCATCCTGCTTCTGGTACGGTCAGAGGTTGATCTTCCTGCGTAGAAAAATGTTCGTTAATCCCTTCATCTTCCTGATTAAAACCTTGAATGTCATTAGATAGAACCGAACGAGAAGTAGTCTCTCTGTTTTCTCTTATTCTATTATGCCCATCATCAGCCATGCCTGAAATTCTTACTTCATTTCTTATTATACCTCTTTCAGACAAACCCATAGGGTCAACAGTGGATGTTGTGCTGGGTCCAGATAAATTCAGGTCGTTACTAAAGGTCTGGTAGTTTAATACGCCATTGTTTCTACTAAAATCAGTTGCTGTAAAATCTTGTTCGTCAACTATACAACTGAATGTTGGTGATTCATCATTGCCATCATCAGGCATGTCCGAAATTCTAAATTCATTTCTTATTCTACCTCCTTCAGATAAACCTGTAGGATCCACAGTTGATATTGTACTGACAGATTCTCTAGACGAATAGGAAGTGTTAACCAAGTTACTGGAAAAACTGTTTGGAGAACCCAGGGTTGAAGGCATTGCATTGTCATATATCCCTCCATTATTTGCGATTTTGGTGTTAAATGACACTTCGTTATTGTTGGCAGTGGTCTGTGAAACGCCAACTTCATTTCCTGGTGGAATTCCAAGCTCTGTTGTTGGGGTATTATTTTGTATCTGTGCCACCACGATCTCACTTCTTGGACCGTTCAGCAGATCAATCGTAGAGGCACAGCTGGAAGTGTTAGCACCACTGCACATGTTGATTGAATGAGCTGTTGATGAAGGCTGGGCTACATTATGCACACCTCGATTAGTAACATCTATGTGATTATCTTGATTGCTGGGGAAAACTGCAACTTCACGGCTTGGTTCGTTCTGCAGATCAATAGTAGAGGAAGTGTTTAAAGCGTTACTTGTCGAACCACCAAATGAAGTGAAATGGCCACCATTTCCATTCATCCCCATATTACTGGTATTGCTAGGATTATTTGGTATTTCCGGTATGCCTCTGCGCTGTAAATTTTCTTTCGGCTGAGAGCAGCCTGTGTTTGTGGTAGTTGTGAGTGAAGTCAAATTCTCCCTAATATCACCGAAGTTATCTTCATAAAAATTCAGCTGTGACTGATTGGTCTGGTTTTCGCGTATCGGATCTGTTATTTCTGAATCGGGACTTAAGAATGGTTTTTCCTCCTTTTCTTGATATGCATCATGCTGCTGCTTTAACTCTTTTGTTATCTGTTTAATGGACCTGTCAGAATTGATATTTTTCTTTTGATCTTCGGGATTTACAACACTGCAGTTCCCCTTAGTTTGAAAACCATTATCTTCCTGTTGCCTTTCTCCTTTTGAATTATGAATAAGTTCTGGATTTTTAAGCGCAGATTTTACCAGTTCCTTTACATAACCCGATTTATCCAAATTCATGTTATCCCTTGACAGATCTGTACTCCTTTCTACAGATTCATTATCAGAATTCTGACTGCTGTGTTGATTCGTGTTTCTTAATTCTACCGAAGAATTCTGGATTAATTTTTGGATTTTGTTTTGTTTGGAATAGGAATCAAGGTTTTGTTGTTGGATCTCAACATCAGTCCTTGAGTCGTTCCTTGTGGTAACTACGTTGTTATCTACATAGCAATTACTATCAGTAATATCATCCGCTGGTGATGGTGGGCGTTCTGGTGCAACGTTTAAACTGTTGGGTTGGTTATTTGACACAGCTGTATTACTGACTTGAATATTAGGCAAACCGGTACAACTAAGATCGTTCCGGTTCTCTTGATATTGGAATTCACCTGAATTATTTGCTCTTCTACTGACAAGGCTTGCTGTCCTATCATGTGTATCCAAGCGTTCACCAACTTTTGTTGTTTGACTTTTATTTACACATGAATTAATTTCGGGTACGTAATTAGGGTCATTTCTATTTTCTGTGCGGTTGTAATGACAAATATCTGTGTTTCTTTGAGCGACACAATTTCTTTGATTGACTTCGGATCTTCTGTATCCATTAGAGTTTACATCGCTGTTTCTGGTTAGATATTCGGGAATGTCATATGTATACCCAACGTCACCTCGATCCCGTCCACTATTATTAAAAATCCTTTCTCCATTCCTCACACTTTGATTAAACGAAGTACCGACGGCTGTTTGGTTTGCTGCTCTTGTTCTTCTATGACGTCCTGTAATAATAATAGAACTAGAATTGAGACAAATATTTTGATGTATCTACAAATAAACTTTCCAAATTACTGCACCCATGTCCACATAACGCACGAATAAGATTGCAGCCGGTCTAGTTTATGAAAATTAGGGAGAGTTCCGCCATTTTTAAATCCCAAGCTGTAATGGGGTTTTCTTAAAAAAAATTGTAGCCTATGCTATATGTTTAGAAAATAAAAAAATTCTCATTATTTTTAGATTCAATGAGGATTTTGTGCCCTCCATGTTCTTCGTTCCGGAAACAGATACGTACCAGGTTGCTCACCATCATCTTCCATATCCGACCAGTTTAACAGCATTATGATTTCAGGACGTTCTACTTTCAACAGAGCTCGTCTTAAATGAACAAACCAGTAATCATATGTTTTTAATGTCATTAACAAATCAGCGTTAACTTGCTCGTCAGACTTTACTACCAATTGCCTTGTATACTTTCTCTGAAAATCATAATTTACTTTTGGTCAAAAATATAAGCCTCACAATCCTATACTCATACGGTCCAACTACTGATGGGTGGGGTTTTTGTATGACGTGTCAGCCTTTTGGACAATAAAGACAATCTGTTGAACATTTTCTAGTAACAACAAATTATTATATCAGGATTTTTACGTAAACAGTCATAATATATTATGTGAATATTTACTGAATACATCGTGTTAGAAAAAGTCATACCAGAATACAAAATCAATATAGTAATAAATTTCTTAAGGAATAAAATTTAACTTTAAAACATTTATGAAGAGAATTTGATTTTTCTTTTGACTTTTATTTCCCTTTAGAAATAACACTATAGACCCTAATGTACAGAATCTTAGCACTACGATGTCTTTGGTCCGATAGACATGGAATGGGCTTTCATTGTAGTCCAAGTTGGACTGTCCAACAATGTGACCATGATCTTCGGAATAAACGACTTCTAGATAGTGTTGCTATACGGTCTATAAGAACATACCAGTTCTGCTTAGTGTATCTTGGTCGGCATAGACTATTGTAAAGACAGTGCCTTCGCGTGAATGAGGTTCTGTCGGAATTGGGTAAAGATTTGGGCTGGTCCTTTCGAAGAGCTGACCGTGCCACAAGTCAGCAGACTATCATGCGGCGTTCCTATAGAGAGATAACCATAAGAGACTGACACAAACAATCATATAGTCTACATTCTATCGCTAGAGTTAGCAATGTCAGTCTGAAAAAGTGGGATATGGTCTAGGCTCGTGAAACTGAGACTGCAGAAAGACATTATAGTTACAGGATTTTAGAACAATAGGCCTACAAAGTTCAAGATTTCTAATTAAATATGACAAGGTCAAATCCAAGATATCAAGAATATTGTTCACAGTTAAGTATGGGATTGTGTCACACGGCAGTGACATACAATAATTAACATTCGTTATTTTGAAGCCAGTGACGAGAATTGTCTTTGGCGTCTTCAATAGCAGGCTTTGCTTCAGGAACACGAGTCTTTGGAGGCCTGGCGACACAGCACGGTATAGCGTCACAGAGTGACCCCCGCCCCACCCCTCCGACACACACACCAACACCCACTCACTACCACCACGTCATTTTTGGGATAGGTAGCTCAATCCCTAGTCATTCAATTAATTTCCGTAAAAACACCCTGGCATTCCTGTCAACAGGGAGAGCAAATGGCGTTTGACACCAACTCCCTTTTCAAGCCTTTTACACTAAATGAAGGATAAACAATTTGGGGCATTCTTAGGGTCTTCGTTTAATGAATATAAATTTCCATAGATTTCTGACATGAGTCATATAGGTTTTTGTGGGCCGAAAACAATTTTTATATAGTAGCCTACCGTCTCTTCTACCATTACCTACCATATCAGAGTCTCTAAGGCATCTTAAGTGCTGTAAAATGGCTTCAGTAGGAATTTGTTTAATAAGAACTGGTAGATGAGCTCTGACATCTTCCCAATATCTATCACTTTTACTGAAATATTCAGCCATTTTGTTAATTCGACTTCCTTTGCTATTAAAAAACCCCATTACCATTGGGTCATGCTATGGAAAGCCGTTAATATCATCATCTTATATACTTGTCGGACCGTGATACAAGAAATATAATGATGTAACATTGTTGGTACGAGGGGGATGGGTTGGCCGAATGGTTAACACGTGCGCGCTGTATCATAAGGTCTGTCAATGTCATTGAGTCAACTGGCGTGGTTTCGAATCCCCGGTTGTATATGTGTCAAGGGTCCTCCGGTTTCCTCCCACTGTTAAAGACCCCTATGCGCAAGAGAATTATTGAAATGAAATTAAATCATGTTTGTCCCGAAATGACGTTAAACCCCAATTGTCTCTCTCTTTTTATTGGTACGAGTATTTAATTAAAACAAAGGCATGATGCAAAATATGATGATGTATGTACGCCCGTAATTATGAAAATGTCTGAAAGACAATTATAACAGAACAATTTACACTACCAAGACTAGAAGTAAAATTATATTAACAATGGTAATAAAATCGAGATGCTATCTTTCGGGATGAATCACACATAGAAATATGGGTTGATATTGAGGTAATATTAATTACCCAATAACTAAATGACGTGGAATTTCGCGCGTAGCAGCGGTTGATATTGGATGTCTAATTCACACGTGCGCTAATACCAGGTGATAATCTTCATAGTTTGTGTCAGGAAGCAACCTATTTCCACGGTTATTATTCGGAATAAAATATAGGGTTTCATATTTCGATTATCGCTACATAATTCACAGGAAATATTCGATTCTGCAAATTAAACCTTCTCACATCACCCAAAATTTGTTAAAATAGCCAATGTCACGCAGATGCAGCTTTTTGGGGATCAAATGGAAATACAAATTTTCTTTCTTAAAAGATTGTATTAGGACATGATATTATCAGGAAGTGGGATTCGTCTTTAATTAAACATATAGATCACAATGATGAACAATGGTGGCACCCCAAATAACCGCGATTATTCATCATTACTAATGTATTTTGATTAAAAAATTATGTCAAAATCGACAGTCGTAGAAAAGAGAGATAACTCATGCATAATTTTAAAGGCATCAGACCACAGCTATCCTCATTTGTAGTATTGAATTAGCAGCACGGAAGCGTTGTCTTGAATGCCATATTAGTACAATGTAACCAAGGCAGCGACTATTTTAGTTTCAAATACGATATGCGGCTCGTTTTGCGGTATCACAGCTTAAACGAATTTGTTGTTAATTATGTTGGCTTGTAGGAATCAGGCTACGGTTAGTCTCATCTTATTAATTACGAGGCTAATGGGAATATTCTATTGTTTATTATTTCAATGTAGGCCCTACAATCCCCACCACCTCCTACGTTATATGTAAAATAATATTTGATTTTAATGGATGGATATTTAAACAAGATTTCGTGTTTAGTCTCATCTGTATCAATGATATCTAACAAGATCTGTCAGATCCACCCGTCTTGATATGTAAGTCTGTGGTATAGTAGTTTCACGTGAGGACGACATACAGTGTTTTCTTCTACTTTACGATCAAATAACATTGTATTTTCGGGCGATAATCAAATCTGTAGGGCAGTGGCCAAATAATGAAAGAAATAAAGTTTTAGTGGATGTGAAAGTAAAAATATGAAAATTATTTCATTCCGCAAGTTCAAGTGCCCGAAACCCGGGAATTTTACTGACCAATGGGTGTGGTGATGCAATTCCCAACCGGAGTTCAGAGTTTCAGAAAATCACACAATTCTGTGTTTGATTCAGAGTGTCTACTTCTTAAACTCAAACTGCTGTTCCAGCAAATTCGCTCCGGCTAGGTGCTACTTACCGTTATTTTTCGAAATTTTACTACGGTTATGGTTCATTTTTCGGATGCTGCCGCCGTATTTTTTCGGGAAATAAAATGATAAACATATCAATGAATATAACACAAGAAATAAAGAGGCATTAACATAACTAATTATCCTTTCCAAGAATGAAATTCTTATTCTGTGAGTTAAAAAAGAGATACAAAAACCTACTTTCAGTTTCATACTGTTAGATTCTGTGATTGGTATGTATTCTTTGATAATTGGGTCTACATTTGTTCTTATATGAAAAAAAAGAATCTGGATTCCATTCAAAGAAAAAATCTTCAACCTCAGTTTTAAACGGGGCAGGTGCGTGTTACATTGTGTGTAATATATATTTGAGATGTTCCTCATCCATTCTAGTGCTAAAATGGCATAATTATTTCAAGACTGGAAACAAGATGACATATTTCGGATATTTGAGCGAGTACTGAACAAAATTTCAAATTAGTGTACGATGTTGAAAAGAAAGGTGTGTTTAGGCACGACAGTTATGTTCGGCGAAATACGCCAGAAGTCTCAATCGAACATATTCCTGAAGCAACGGCCCGAGAAATCCCTCTCTGGTCATTGCTGTATTGGCTTCTAATACTTGAGCTTTTGCGGGAGTGTGTTCAATCAAACATATCCCAAGTACAGCAACATGACAAACCTTCGTTTAATCTGGGGTCTTCCCTAAAACTTTGGACAGTGATTTAAGGTATTAAAAATGGTGAAAAATTAAGTATTGTCTCCAAACAGTATTGTTTACATTGTATTCGTGTTGATAACTTCGTTTCTCACGCAATTAGTTTTTCTGCAATATTCTGCTATATGCACTAGTTAATTGGGCATAATAAAATCGTGAGTCATGACGTAACGTTATGTAAACATATTTGGTCCAATTCGGAGCTCTGTTTAAAGCGTAATGATATTGTTACGCAGTTAGCTATTGGTTGCTAATCGGACTATTGATCAGTCATAATTTGGAACAGAAATTTTCTTCCATTACAGCAGTGTTAAGTCGGAATAGCTGTAATCAAACGAAACACTACGAGGAGTATGCAATCGAATGGCAATCTCTAGCGGCTGGTTATTACAGTCTACACCGGTAGTATTTATTGCGATTGCTCTGCAGATAAGAATTATGGCGAAGAAGGTTCATCGGAATTTTCCGGCGTGGTTTCCCTTTGTCAGTGATGCAGGACGGAAGGCCTGTCTAGTCGTTCGATGGGACGAAAAACCGAAGTCCCGTGTAGACATTGGTGTGCACGTAAAAGATCCCTTGGCAGTTGGAATTCGATATAAGAGTAGGCCACAGTGCCGCTGCCCGGGCAAAATGTCCCTTATAGCACACTGTATGGCGTATCCCGTCATCATTAGCCCAGTCGAAGCAGAACAGTAGAACGTTAAACCCCATTTCATTGTGATGATCCATTTATAATCCCGAGGGAATGGCAGTGCACAGGATCAGCTCGCGGACCTCTATCTATTTGTCTTCTGACCTCATATCAAATGTGATTTAGAACTACAAATAAATTGACTTTTTATTATTTTATCGACATAATTTACAAATAATGTGCTCAAATACTTACACACAGATCAAACAATTAAAATATATTTTAATATGTACATATCACATTTTCATAAATATACATCTTCAACACGAATCTCAAATTTACAAATAAATATGTCTCTTGGAAACATTTCAAATAAATATCAATGTCTTGGAAACATTTCTGAAAGCTTTCTTTTGGGCAATTTCATTCCTTGCCATTTCACACTCTCATTGTTGTGCTTATAGTTTACCGACATTTTCTGTTTCTTTTGTAACGTCATTTATTAACATTTGTCAGACGTAAATGTCCGAGTTATAAAATAGCAGTTTCACACTACATTAAAACAGTTTCACACCTTTAATAACATTATCTATTATCATATAGGTCTATTATTATCATCTTTTGAATTTTACGTGATTTGTGACATTTATCAGATAGCACACGTCCCGGGGCACACATTTCAGGGAATGGGAATCTAATCAAAGAGTGACATTAAAACTAAATTTTTGAAATTTGAAATTATTGCTGTACAGGCTGCCCTATTTAATTAGAATAAAAAGTTTATGTCATCTATTTTTTTTATCACATACTTTCTCATAGCATACTAAACTGTCTACAGTTAGCTCCGCTTGAGAACAGACACTTAGCCAGTTTAAAGTCCTAAATCGACGATTTTAGTCGAAATCACTAAGCATACTTCGAGAATTTTGTTAAGTATTTATTCTGCTTCCATTTAATAAAATTGAAAAAGTTTATTCGGCCTCTGTGTGTATGACAGGTGTGTAACGGAGTAGAACCGCATAACAAAACAGTAATCTATTATTTTTTTTTGATATGGCGGCCATTTAAAGCAGATATCTATTCTCGAAGTATGCAGTAAACGAATCTATGTCTGCAGACGGATCGCGGAGTACCAGACCCCATACTTGAGAGTTGACTATGATTAGGTTGGGCTCAGGCATCGCCAAGCCTATAGACACCACTGTCAAGCAACGAATTCGACAAAATGGTCTTAAAAGAAAGAGTAGTTTTCATCTGGTCGCCATTCGAGTGCATGGGATTTATCAACTGGTTACAGAAATAACCCCTACATACCGAATTACCACGTATGCATTATTTTTGGAGGTTTATTTGAGATCCGATCTTGTCTGCATTGTACCAGGTCAACCAGCCATTTATTGGAGACTTAAAAATTGTTCATAGTCATGGATTTGATTATTTGTTATTTATAATTAATGACAATCTAGACTTCTATAATGGCACATACACACATGTAATCTTCCTAAAATAGTCTCGCATAATTCTGATGTTAGCGATCTAAAGCATAGCTCATAATTTCAGACAGGGATGGAAATACGTTCAAACTAGACAACCATCCTGCTTCCGGTACGGTCAGAGGTTGATCTTCCTGCGTAGAAAAATGTTCGTTAATCCCTTCATCTTCCTGATTAAAACCTTGACTGTCATCAGATAGAACCGAACGAGAAGTAGTCTCTCTGTTTTCTTGAGGCTCAATGTTAAATGGCGAAGAATCTACTCGAGATGCGAGACTCAATGAGTCTGGTGGATGGAAACTTTGAACCAAATCAAACGTCGCTCCTCTGTTTTCTTCATCCTCGAAGTTCATTGGATATTCACTGGAAAATTCAGGTGCATATGCTTCGATCTCCGATGTTTCGTTACTTTGTTCATCACCAAATGGATTACTTTGTGTCGTTGATTCATTTTGTCTTATTCTATCAGTGTCGCCATTCTGTTCATCAGCTGTACCGGTTATTCTGATTTCATTTCGTAGTCTACCCCTTCTTGACAAACCTGTAGGGTCCACGGTGGATGCTGTGCTGGGTCCAGATAAATTCAGGTCGTTACTAAGGGTCTGGTAGTTTGATACACCACTGAATGTTGATGATTCATCAGTGACACCATCAGCCATGCCCGAAATTCTAAGTTCATTTCTTATCCAACCTCTTTCAGACACACCGGTTGGATCCACAGTGGATGTTGTTCTCGCAGATTCTCTAGACGAATAATCGTCAGTATTAGTATCGTTTGGTATTTGGGCGGCATTCGAAGCTGTTTGCGAATCAACTGTAGCTGAAGACACCCCAGTGTTTTCTTCATCCTCAAAATTCATTGGATATTCACTGGACAATACTGGTGCATTTACTTCGGTCTCTGATGTTTCCTCACATTGTTCATTATCAAATGGATTACTGCGTGTCGTTGATTCATTTTGTCTTATTCTATCAGTGTCGCCATTCTGTTCATCAGCTGTATCGGTTATTCTGATTTCATTTCGTAGTCTACCCCTTCTTGACAAACCTGTAGGGTCCACGGTGGATGCTGTGCTGGGTCCAGATAAATTCAGGTCGTTACTAAGGGTCTGGTAGTTTGATACACCACTGAATGTTGATGATTCATCAGTGACACCATCAGCCATGCCCGAAATTCTAAGTTCATTTCTTATCCAACCTCTTTCAGACACACCGGTTGGATCCACAGTGGATGTTGTTCTCGCAGATTCTCTAGACGAATAGTCGTCAGTATTAGTATCGTTTGGTATTTGGGCGGCATTCGAAGCTGTTTGCGAATCAACTGTAGCTGAAGACACCCCAGTGTTTTCTTCATCCTCAAAATTCATTGGATATTCACTGGACAATACTGGTGCATTTACTTCGGTCTCTGATGTTTCCTCACATTGTTCATTATCAAATGGATTACTGCGTGTCGTTGATTCATTTTGTCTTATTCTATCAGTGTCGCCATTCTGTTCATCAGCTGTATCGGTTATTCTGATTTCATTTCGTAGTCTACCCCTTCTTGACAAACCTGTAGGGTCCACGGTGGATGCTGTGCTGGGTCCAGATAAATTCAGGTCGTTACTAAGGGTCTGGTAGTTTGATACACCACTGAATGTTGATGATTCATCAGTGACACCATCAGCCATGCCCGAAATTCTAAGTTCATTTCTTATCCAACCTCTTTCAGACACACCGGTTGGATCCACAGTGGATGTTGTTCTCGCAGATTCTCTAGACGAATAGTCGTCAGTATTAGTATCGTTTGGTATTTGGGCGGCATTCGAAGCTGTTTGCGAATCAACTGTAGCTGAAGACACCCCAGTGTTTTCTTCATCCTCAAAATTCATTGGATATTCACTGGACAATACTGATGCATTTACTTCGTTCTCTGATGTTTCCTCACATTGTTCATTATCAAATGGATTACTGCGTGTCGTTGATTCATTTTCTCTTATTCTATCAGTATCGCCATTTTGTCCATCAGCTGTATCGGTTATTCTGATTTCATTTCGTAGTCTACCCCTTCTTGACAAACCTGTAGGGTCCACGGTGGATGCTGTGCTGGGTCCAGATAAATTCAGGTCGTTACTAAGGGTCTGGTAGTTTGATACACCACTGAATGTTGATGATTCATCAGTGCCACCATCAACCATGCCCGAAATTCTAAGTTCATTTCTTATCCTACCTCTGTCAGACACACCTGTAGGATCCACAGTTGATGTTGTATTGGCAGATTCTCTAGACGAATATTCGTCAGTATTAGTACCGCTTGGTATTTGGGCGGAATTCGAAGCTGTTTGCGAAACAACTGTAGCTAAAGACACCCCAGTGTCATGCAGTCTTCCGTTAATTACTGCAGGTTTGTCCTGTATATCAGTTGTTGTGGAAGTGATGACAGTGCCAATACCACTGGTAGTGTCCTGTGACGTAACTACAACTTCACCTTGAAAATTTATTGTCGAGGAAGAAGTGCTAACCAACTTATTGTAAAAACTGTTTGGAGAACTCAGGGTTGAAAACATTGCATTGTCATATGTTGCTCCATTAATTGCGCTTCTGGTGTTAAATGACACTTCGTTATTGTTGGCAGTGGTCTGTGAAACATCAACTTCATTTCCTGGTGGAACTTCAAGCTCTGTTGTTGGGGTGTTATTTTGTATCTGTGACACCACGATCTCACTCCTTGGACGGTTCAGCTGATCGATCGTAGAGGCGCAGCTGGGAGTGTTAGCACCACTGTTGATTGAATGAGCTGTTGATGAAGGCTGGGCTACATTATAGACACCTCGATTAGTAGCATCTATGTGATTATTGGGTAATGCTTGATTGTTGCGGAAAACTGCAACTTCACGGCTTGGTTCGTTCTGCAGATCAGTGGTAGAGGAAGTGTTTAACGCGTTACATGTAGAACCACCAAATGAAGTGAAATGGCCACCATTTCCATTCATCCCCATACAACTGGTATTGTTAGGATTATTTGGTATTTCCGGAATGCCTCTGCGCGGTAAATTTGCTTTCGGCGGAGAGCAGCCTGTGTTTGTGGTAGTTGTGAGTGAAGTCACATTCTCCCTAATATCACCGGAGTTATCTTCATATAAATTCAACTGTGACTGATTGGTCTGGTTTTCGCGTATCTGATCGGTTATTTCAGAATCGGGATTTAAGAATGGTTTTTCCTCATTTTCTTGATATGCATCATGCTGCTGCTTTAACTCTTTTGTTATCTGTTTAATTAACCTGTCAGAATTGATATTTTTCTTTTGATCTTCGGTATTTACAACACTGCAGTTCCCCCTTGTTTGAAAACCATTATCTTCCCGCTGCCTATCTCCTTTTGAATTATGAATAAGTTCTGGATTCTTAAGCGCAGATTTTACCAGTTCCTTTACATAACCCGATTTTTCCAAATTCATGTTATCCCTTGACACATCTGTACTTATTTCTACAGATTCATTATTAAAATTTTGACTGCTATTTATATTGCTAGGATTATTTGGTATTTCCGCAATGTCTCTGCACTGAAATGTGTACTTGCTCCCATTATCTTCCTGTTGCCTTTCTCCTTTTGAATTATGAATAAGGTATGGATTCTTCAGCGTAGATTTTATCAGTTCTTTTACATAACCCGATTTATCCAAATTAATGTTATCCCTTGACAGATCTGTACTCCTTAATTCTACTGATTCATTATCAGAATTTTGACTGCTGTTTACGGGTAGATTATCATGGGGATTCATGTTTCTTAATTCTACAGAAGAATTCTGGATTGATTTTTGAATTTTGTTTTGTTTGGAATAGGAATCAAGTTTTTGTTGTTGGATCTCAACACTAGTCCTTGAGTGGTTCTTTGTGGTAACTACGTTGTCATCTACAGACCAATTATTATTAGTTATATTACTTACTGGTTCTTGATATTGGAATTCAGTTGAATTATTTGCTCTTCTACTGTCAAGACTTGATGCCCTCTCATGTCTATCCAAGCGTTCACCATCAGTATCATGAGTAACTGGAATATTAGGCAAACCTGTACAACTGAGGTCGTTCTTTTGATATTGGAATTCACCTGAATTATTTGCTCTTCTACTGTCAAGGCTTGATGTCCTCTCATGTCTATCCACGGATTCACCACCCCTCCTTTTTAGAATTTTATTATACCCAACGCCACCCCCACCTCGACCCCGACCATTATTAGTAAAATACCTTTCCTCATCTCCCCTTCTTTGATTAAACGAAGGACTAACGGTTGGTTGGTTTGCTGCACTTGTTCTTCTATCACTCCCTGAAATAACAATAGAACAAGAATTGAGACAAATGTTTGGATATACTGCATCTACAGATAAGTTTATACAATTACTGCACCCATATTTAAGGATTTAAAACGGCCATTGGTAAATAGACCATGTAGCATCCGGGATATATGAAATAAGTTTGAATATAAATACCACACTGCTGAACATTGCCATTGTTATAACACAACTTCTAATACTATAAATTGACAGTTTACGGCCTATAGTTTAACACCACTCGGGCTGATGAAGACGTGTATGCACCATGTAATGGGAATATGCACCATGTACATGTAATGGGATTTGAGGAAATTTACATCAAATGAGTTCGCAATATCGACTTTGTTTCCTTCTGGAAATGGAATTCTAGAACATTTTTTTGAAAGTAATAGAAAAATAAATAAAGGGGTTTGAAGTATATCTGGATATAAAAAAATATTTCCTATTTGGTGTATCAATGAGTATGATTAAAAGTCTCCATTCTGTCGTGTCGGGGTTGTAAAAATTGGACGAGCTATCGAGCCAATGATTTACGCCCTGTGATGTGACCTGAATATGCGTAGAATATACTTTATAAAGGTCAGCCATCTTACACAGACTTATAAGAAGAAGGCCTTCGCAATACTTCTAGGGAAACATGTAACAACCTATAATAAACGAACTGATTCAACAATGAATGTTCCAATGCATACACATTAACCCTAATTACGTAAGTTCCCCTATTTATTCCCATGCCGTGCAGTACCGCAGGTGTACTTTGCGAAGATAAGGTAGAGTTCCGCCATTTTATTAAATCCCAAGCGATTACAGGCTACCTATTCTGTAATGCGGTTTTCTAATACATTTATGTGGCCTATGCTATATGTTTAGAAAATGAAAAATTCTCATTATTTTAGATTCAATGAAGATTGCCGGAAAGTTGTTAAAATGAGTTCCACATTGGAGGAGAGACTGGTGGAAGAGGAAGCAAAGGTTTTGTACCCTCCATGTTCTTCGATCCGGAATACAGAGAACCAGACTACTCACCACCATCTTCCATATCCCACCAGTTTAATAGGTCTATGATGTGATATCGTTCTAATGTGAATAGAGCATCTTTTAAATGACGAAACCAGTATTCACATTTGGGTAATTTCAATAACAAATCAGTATTAACGTGCGCTTCAGATTCCCTCTCCAATTGTTTTGTATACTTTTCCTGAAAATCATAATATATACATTTGGTCAAAAAAATAAGTCTGACAATCCTATATTCATATGGTCCATCTGATGGGTATATAGGGTTTTAGTATGATGTGTCAGCGTTTTTGACTGGCCAGCAGTACAGTTTGGTATACCTTTCCGGAAAATTAAAATAGCATTAATAAATTATTTAAATAGTCTGACAATCCTATACCCATACGGTCCAGCTGGTGGGTGGACTTTTAGTATGATGTGTTAGCGTTTTTCACTGCCAAACACCACACTTTTATGTACATTTTATGAAAATTATAATTATTTGACCAGAAAAATAGTCTGACAATCCTGTACCCATACGGTCCAGTGGCTGGACAGTGTTTTAGTATAACGTATCAGCGTTTTTAAATCCCTGGCAATACAATTGTGTATACCTTTCTGGAAAATTATAGCCTCGTCAGAAAAAATAGTCTGACAATCCATACCTATATAGTCCAGCTGATGGGTGGGCTTTTATGATAATGTGGCAGCGGATTTGAATCCCTAGCAATACAGTTTTCCGAAGAATTATACCATTTGGCCAGAAACATAGTCTGACAATCGTAAATATACTCATAGCCATACGGTCCAGCTGATGGGTGGGGTTTTAGTATGATGTGGCAGCGTTTTGGACTGTCAAGCACAATAAAGACTGTTGAACACTTTTTAGTAACAACAATTTAGGAAATTATGATTAATTCGTAATACTTGTTAGATTTCGGTAGCCTATTTATAAATATTTACCACCGTTATGAAAAGTTTAGTCTACCAGTACCATTACCTACCATGTCAGAGTCGCTAAGGCATCTTAAGTGCGGTAAAATCTCTTTAGTAGGAATTTGTTTAATAAGATCTGGTAGATTCCGTCTTAAATCTTCCCGATATCTATCACTTTTACTGAAATATTCAGTCATTTTATTAACTTTCACTTTCTATTGGAAAAACCCATTAAATTCGGCACTAACGCTAGATCGAAGACGGTCTAGCACAAAATGACGTCATATGCGGATTGTGGGTTAGGTTAGGGTAAGGTTTAGGGTTTGGGTTAGGTAGCGCTCTCGAGAACTTGACGAAATCTGCAGTCCTAACCCTTACCCACATTTCACATTATGATGTCATATGTGCTAAACCGTCTCCGATCTAGTTCAGCTCTGAACGTAGGTCTCATTACGTTCAGGAACCGTTCTATTGAGCTGAACTATCTCCGATCTAGCGTTCTCCCTTTCGTACACCTAGTACGTAGAGACTTGAAATTTGCTGTTAAAGAGATTTCAATATTCGATGTAGTCTGGTGCATTAAAACTGATAAAGAGACCAACAAGATACGACATGGTGCCTCATGCTTAAGGGGACCATTGATAGTATCCGTTGAGCCTCTTCAGCAAAAATCGGGATTGAACCGCTCTGATTATCGAGTCAACGCTTTGTCATTGAGCTAAAAATATTCCTAAAAATAGCTACTTAATAATGTGACGAAAATTATTAATATTGATCAGTGGTAGTAAGAAGCTTGCTTGGTGTTCAGCAAGTCATATTTATAGTGTCTTGGTATTCAAGTCAGAATAGTGAAAAACGATGTTCACCAGACTGATCCTTGCATGGCTAGATCTATTTAAGGCCAACTCAATTTTCGTCAAGGTCGCTGCATGAAACTTTCGAAAATAAAAGGTGTTCTAAAATCTGAACTTATTGACCCATTCGTCTGAAATTTGGTGTGGGGTCATCACCAGTCCCCCTTAACACTCCCAGCCGTGGGAAAGGGAGATAACTCATGTATAATTTCGTAGGTATCAGACCATGGCTATTATCTATGTTGTAACATAGTACTACTTGTCAGCACAATGGCGTATCTTGTATGCCATAGAACAATGCTACCAAAGCAGCGGCTATTTTAGTGTCAAATACAATATGCGAATCATTTTTCGGAATCAAATATTTGCAATATTTCAGCTAACACATTTTACAGCTTGAATGTTGTTATTGCAGAGATCAGGCTACTCTTAGTCTCATCTCATCATATCACGGGACTAATGGCAATATACTAATGTTAATTATTTCAATGTAGGCTCTTTGATCCCCAGCACCCCACTATGTTATATGTAAGATAAGGTTTGATTTTACTGTATCTATACTGAAGTTTATAAAGAGCCCAAAATATGCAAACAAGGTTGTATGTTCAGTCTTGCCCTCTTAAACACCTGTAGGCCTATCAATATCTAACAAGACAGTCTATGGTATAGTAGTTTCAGGTGTGGATAACAGACAGTAGTGCTAGTGTTATTTCTATGCAAACAAGCTAATGAGAGAGAGAGAGAAATGGGGTTTAATGTCCACTCGACACAAACTAGGTGATTTGGGGACTAACATATCATCATATGGTTCAATTTTATTTCAATAATTAACTTGCACCTAGGGGGTTTAGCAGTGGGAGGAAACCGGAGAAAAACCCACAAGGTTGGACAGGCAACCCTACTCCTTGCCACGTACAACCGGGGAATCGAAACCACGCCAGTTGACTCAATGGCAGAACTTATGATACAGCGTGCACGTGCTAACCATTCGGCCATCCAACCCCCCAACAAGCTAATGAAGACGGGCATATTCTTATGTGAATCTATGATTCTAATAGGTAAAACATAGCATTCTTTGATGAATTTTCCTCTCCGGTGCAGCCTCCAGTATGGTGTATATGTACCATCCAGGTTAACCAGACCCTTGATGTGTAACTAGAATCATCTGGACACAACGTAGTCTTGCTCATCTAGGCTCTATATTACAGCAAGCACTGTTTTTCATTCCATACACAGGACTAGACACTTGTTTGCAGGCCCTATGTTGTGCACCTCTCATAGGGAAGATAAATACAGATTAACATCCACTCAATAAAAACTAGGTCATTTCGGGACTAACATGTAACTTTTATTTCAATAATTTGCTTGTGCGTAGGGATCTTTAGCAGTATTAGAATACCAGAGGATCCAGAGAAAATTCACAAGATTAGACAGGCCATCATACTCTCTGTCTAGTCATCGGCTACAGTTCTTATTTATTTTTGGGGACCACGTGGCTAAGTGGGTAAGACGCTGGCTCGCTAGCCTGGAGGTTGGGTGTTTGATCCCTGCATTGGCTGAGAAAGTTCATCCAGATTTTCCGGCGTGGTTCCCACTTGTCAGTGATGCAGGACGGAGGGCCTGACAAGCACTGCTGTCTAGTCCTTTGGATGATACGAAAAACCGAGGTCCCGTGTATACATTAGAATGCCCGTCTTCCTTAGCCCAGCATAGGAGAAAAACAGTAGGACATTAAACCCCATTTCATTTCATTTCTTATTTATTTACTTGTTTTGGAATTGCAATTGGTTAAACATCACTGACAAGGGGGAACCATGCCGAAATAAAAGTGACGAGGAATTTGTCATATTTTTTATTTGTCAACAAAATATTAACAAGGTGAATTGTATACTCCATATTATCCAACATGCATAGAAATATCCTTCATTCAAGCAGATAATCAACTGATTAAAACACGGATCCTATTTCATTTCGTTTTTTATAGCTAAAAATTTTGTTTTTTCTATACTACACTAGGATCTGGAAGAGTTGTTATATAACCTGCGTTCTGAATTGTGTGAAAGATTAGCCAATGAAACCATCTGTTACAGCGCATTCTTGTCTGATGTCGTAGGGTCAAAAGCTGTTCATACAACCTCTGACGCGACGTTTGACTACAATCGGTCAGATCTTCATGTAGTGTAGGCCATCGAAAGTATAAAAAAAACAAATATAGATCTGTATTTTAATCAGATTGGCAGATAACTAATTAATTTATGAAAATCAAAGGTCTATACACAGATAGCAGTATTAGGAACAATAGTAAGATTTTGACACTTGATATTATTTTACGGATGCATAAAGTAAGATATAGATAAAAAGTTGGCCGTTCTTTCTATAATAGATAATGAATATTGAATATTTCAATCTAATTACTGTATACTGAGCAAAGTTATGAATGTTTGAAGTTTTGACTTAAAATAGTGTAAATAGTACTGATGGTCAAGTACCATTGCTACAATAATAAACACTCAATTTCCATTTTATTGTTTAGCGAAGATATGACAGACATGGTCTAATCCATTCAATATCTCAGTCATCTGATGATCTAGAGGGTTGATTATGAGCTTGTCATGTGATTAAATGTCTTAAAAGCTAAAAAAGAGCAGATTTAACTCTTGCTTAATACATCTTTAAAGGATGATAGAAAGACAACATATCTGTGTGATGTTTAGAATTAATTTTTAGAATATAATTGTCCTTCAGAACTACATTTGGTCATAGTCCCGATCCAAAAAAGTCAAATAATATTGGTCGCCTCTCTGATCGCGACAAAGACATTACATGTTATTTAACATCAAATTTGACAATCAAAAAATTATTTTCAGAGCAGGTAATTGTATTCCATAGAATCTTGTCTGTGTATTTTACGTTCGACAGGAGAGTTAAATTCAAACAGAAAATTTAATGAATGTGTCTGATCATTAGTATCCATGAGATTTCCAACCTATGGTATGCCTGCTAGAGTCTACTTCTATATATCTAGTACATGTACTGTTTTATGGACCCCCAACCCCACTCTATATAACATAATAAATAGAAGTTGTCAAATAATATACAACCTTTAAATTACAAGAGAAATATAAATAACAAACAATCAGAATGCTTGACAATAGTTTTATATAACAGTAAATTAATAGATAAAAACATTTATAAATGCTTAAATTCTGAAATAATGTCAAATCCTTGGCTTTATTAATATTAATAATTATTAATATTTCATGTTAATTTGGTTTTGTTGTAAATTCACACAAAAACGTACCTGGCTAATATTAAACCTAGACTGGAAGGCCAGTCTTAAAAGAACCTAATTTAATACAATTCAAAAGTGTTTTTATCCACTAAGACAGCTAGCATGACTTCCAGTATATATTATATCACAAAGTTAAATTTAACAGGAGTTTTATTTAGGCCATACAACAGAACTATTCTGGTTCTCAAACAATCCTTACCAGAAATCTGATGCTGTAGTGAGGTTTATAGTTTTCTGTTTTTATTTTGTCAAAGGATCACCACTGCCCTACTGGTCTGAATAACTCTCATAAAAATAAACTTACATTTAATGATACATGTAATAATGTATATTTGTAATGTGCTTAATAATACATCCCTATATGCATGTTCAAAGCGCCACATTTAAGGAGTCTCTAGTCAATAAGAACACACATAAAACAATCTGATTCTAATCTGGATAATAGAGTTTAAACAAATGAGTTTTTAGTTGTGACTTAAAGATTGTGAAAGTTTGAGATTCTCTAATGTTTACTGGTAATTGATTCCAAAGACGAGGTGCAGCAGCACTGAAACTTTTTATCACCAAATTGTTTTAGTTTCGTTTTAGGAACAGTAAAAGTATTTTTTTGTTTTGCGATCTTACAGTATGTTTAGGTTTATAGTTTGTCAAAAGTTTAGACAAATAAAAGGGAGCGAGATCATTTTGAAATTAACAGATTAATGACAGAACTCTATACTTATCGAGTTCATTCCAGTATAATTTATGATTATCAGTAACATATATCAGGGTTGCATACTTGATGAATGAGCCAATACAACATTTCTTGATTCATTCCAATATTTTTATAGAGTTACTTCCTGTAACACGGTCAGGTCAAAAAATTTATGTGTGGCAATAAATGTGACGGTTTTTATATTTTATTCTTTGAATTAAAAACATGTGACGCACAGGATTATCTGACAACCAGAATCAGAATATTTTTTTATATGGCCTAATATACATGTATGCTAATATACACATAACCTACTGACTGTGAACCAAATTTAAACTAATTTAACTGAGAAACAAATGATGGATTGGAAATACTTCACACAGCAGCTATATGTCAACAAATGTATAAACATCCACTTATCCGAAAGAAAACTTGGATGTTAACAAAATTTGATTCAGTTTCAATCTATACAATTGAATTAATTATTGTTATAAATAATTATACTTGTGCCAAGGAAATGTTAACTATTTTGTGTTGCTTTCGACCTGGTTTTTCTAACTGGTATCTCAACTTCTAATTCTTCTAGTCTAAAAAATAAAACAATTATAAAACATGTAAAAATCTGTTGTTTTTTTTCTCTTTAAAATAAATAACCAATAAAAGCCCCAATTAAATTTATTTGATTCAATCAATTCTTACTCCATTCTTCATGAAGTTTTTTTTTTATACAGCAGTTTTTACATTAAGATATTAAATATTATTTTTGTATTTAGAAATACCTGTATGGTGTAACAAACAAGCCTGAAAATATGGCACCTGTCACAGACAATATCAGACACAACTCATTCTTCATATAAAAAGTATCACAAAATATTACATACAGCTTTGCATTACAATTGTTAGATGTGCTTAATTACATAATAAGAAGAGTCATTACATTATTAATAATACTCATTTTACTTTCATTTTTTCTTTATTTTTTAACTCCATATGTATAAAAGTTCACATATCCAGAGATAATATGGCAGATATTAGGATAATCTAAATTATAATCCTTTTAATTTTAAGTATATCAGCCTGTCTACCTGTATATTTAATATGTCTACTGGTACATTTAATATGTCTACCGGTATATACTCTTAAAAACAAGTAGGGGATATTCAGAAACAATACAAAACTGCCGAAATGCACGCACTGCTGTTTTTATTAGAGGTAACCAGTGTATGTTAATAACCGGCCAATTGCCTACACATGAACATAAACACTTCATATGGGCGGCTTATCTGATGGCCCCATTTCACTCGCAAAGAGATACACCATCAAAAGTGAAAATGGACGTTTTTGATTTTTGTCATAATAATGAGTAATTGATCCACCAATCCTCAGACATTTAGCAATTCGTTGCGGCATGCTCCTAATCAACCGTCCAATCATGATTTGGGGCAATCTGACCCAGTCCTCTTGCAGTGTTGTCGGTTGACGTTGACAAACACGTCTCCCGGTCAAATTAAATGTAACACACTAAAACAAAGATATGCTAAACAATAAATCTTATGCAAGAACCGATAGGAAAGCAAACATGGATAGATAAACCAGCACACTGCAGTTTTCATCAATCCTTCCTTGAAGTGTTAAATTTGACAATGAACCCCTCCCACGTGTATGACGCTATTGCATGTCGCATGTGCAGCTCAGTGGCTCTGTTGGGGCGATAAGTTCTTCATCTGTGAACATACTCCCAAAGCATGTCAAGTGTCCATAACTATTTATCATATCACAACCTGCATAGGTATTTGCATTTCAATATCCCCTACTTTTTTTGAAGAGTATATTTTGATTCTATCAAAGAACCATTCAGATTGTATATTATAATCTTTGGGTGCAAATAGGTTTATTAAGATCAAACATGGTTATAAAACAAACAAAATGGTTCCTGACATTTTCTCAGGTACAAATTATAACATTATTGCTAGATCTCGATATATATATGGAATCATTTTGGGTTTATATAAAGAAACTCTATGATAACATTTATTATTATTATTATTAATGTTAATGAAGACTGATGTGAGACACTTAAACAATAGTGAAACATGATGATCATGTGATGGCCATGGTGGCCATGACAGCAGGGCTGTCGGTAATTTTTCACAGTTGATTAGCAGCACTGCTAATCAAAAAGTCCAATTTTGCCAAATTTGATTAGCAAATTTAAAAATTGATTAGCAGTTTTTCAGTTTCAAGGTAAAACGCCTAAATTACAAGATATTACTTTAATTCATAACAAATATGATTAGATTCCATTCTGACTATTCTTAGATTTTTTAGCACTGCCACAAGTACTTCTGACAGTTTGTGAATGTGATGTAGACGTTTAGTTAGGTCTTATGTCTGACGCCAATTCTTGACAGTGACTTCCAAAGCCCCACTCATTTTAATTGTTATTTTTTTTGTTACGTTAGAAATCTTCGTTAGAAAACAATTTCGTCTGCTTTTTATCGTGTATTACTATTTTTTTTCAATCGGGCGCACCTCGATTAACTAGACACACGCGATATAAACAATAATATTTTACGGGAATTTTTACTTTGATTTATCATTTTACAATACGTTAAAGCGGAAATTGCAAATTTTTAAGTTATAATTTTAAAATTTATTAAAATAAAGCCTGAAAATAGATGGTATCCATAAACAGTCCTACCTTGTTAAAGAATAATCCTATAATTCACTATTGCCAGCTGAGAAATTGACAAAAATATCATTTTCCTCTTCATTTTCAAACGTTTGAAAAAAGCTACTCCATGGTGGAGAATAGAAAACAAGGGAGGTAATTGTGTTATTATTTCCTGTGTAAATGAGTTTTAAGTGTGAGAATGACACCTATGATCGTATAATGAGCAAAAGACAGAAATAATTACGTTTTGACTTTCTTAGAAAATTTGCAATTTCCGCTTTAACATGTATTTATATTTGTATATTTTATTGACAATACGTGGGGGATACACTGATTTTATTTCTTTCAAAATGAATATGATATAATTACTTGATGTCTCGCAACGTGAGTGGTACTACTTGATTCCTTATTTCCGGTTTAATAGTATTGTGTCTGGGTAGTTCGAGAAGAAAATGTCACACGGAGAATTCAGTTTTGTTTATAAAATTTTATTCAACATTTTATACATGTTGAAAGTGTTGAGTAAGCCTTTTAGTCTTCAAAATGTGGATTATTCTTGTGTCAATATCTAAAATGACAGGCATATGAATGATTCACAGTAACTGCGAATCAAAAATGTTAGATTTTAATTTTTGGTTAGCAACGGACAAAATATGTATCGCAAATTGCGCTGCGATACTGGTTGTCGGCAGCCCTGCATGACAGTAAGGCTGTCAACAGAAAAAGTTTAATGTCTTTTCACTCTTTGTATAGTTTATGTAAAAGGCTGCTGAAGTGATATTAATCCAGTCATGCTCATTATTGCACACTAAATGCTTTCTATAAAGACTAGCTAGAGGGAGAGCTTCCAAGACACGTCTTGTCGGCTCCACTCCATGTTCCTATCAATGTTATCACCCATTTATCAACTGACGGCACCAGCACATTTAGCTCTTTATACAACATCTACCTAAGTAAATCAACAATTATACTACAAAGATAGATCACATCAGGCAATGCAACATACATGTATGTGTACAAAGCAGTCAAGTCACCTTGGGGATGCTCGATTCACAGTCCAGAACGTCCGGAATTGACAGAATTGCAATCGAGTAACACAGAATTCAGTTCTGTCACAGTTCTGTCAGTCCCAACAACGGAGGTGGTGTGAGTAGAATCATGACGTAATTAAAAGGTTTCGGCTGCACGGTTGGTTGAGATATTTACTTATTCAGTTGAAGCATGCGCTGTAGCCCGAAATCACCTTTTCACTCGATTGTCACTATGTTTGGAATTGAAGGAATTCAATTCCGGAACGTTAAATCGAGTACCCCCCAAATCAGTCCATCAAGGGTGTTAATTGTTATTCTTTAAGAGGTACATGTATGTAACATATGGAGTCAGACCACCAAAAATGTTTACCTTCTCAGTAATTTATACAGTAGCGCATCCCCCCCCCCCTCTCTCTCTTTTCTCCCCTTTTGAATGTCCATTTTTTGTTGATTTTTTGGTCTAGAATGGATGAAAAGGGTTTGAATTAACATTTTCGACTAGGTTTTGGTAAATATTCATGATTTAGAGGCAGAAGGATAACAGAGTTGACAGGTTGGTTACGGTGATATTATGCTACTTCAAGGTTGTGTATCTCAAAATTTTGTTGGTCAACCTCATACACATTTTTGTGCAAAGGCATCACCATTTGTTTCTCTGTCTGAAGTGAAAAATATTCAGGCCAACGAAAAGTTGGAGCCAGACAAAGAGAACAGAATTAACATTGAAGTCAATGGGGAAATTAATGGCGGTCTGCCTCCATATAAATATCATCAAAGGAAGTAATCAGATATAATTAAAATTTGATAGTCCTCACCCTGACGCTAAATATCTTTAATATACAGACTAATGCCACTAACAATGGTTAAAGTAATTTAATCAAAATGTTTAGCAGTTTATAAAGACTGATTAAAAAGCAATAAAACATACGTTCCCCCAATTACTAAAAGGCAAACAAGGGTAACAAGCCATAAAGTAATTATCGGAAATAATCAAAACTTGGCAGCCATTAGAGAAATTAAGTTGTACAATGTCAGTGATAGTTGTGTATAGTATGTTAAATGCATAAATACTTTTTAAAAATTTATGGCATATAATAAACACAAGAATGTATTATACCAACCTTGGTGGTGCTTGAATAACTGGAAATTAAGAATATGATAATTGTTTAAGAGGGACAGAGAGAGAGAGAGAGAGAGAAAGGGGGTTTAACACCCACTTGACATAAACTATGTCATTTCAGGACTAATATATATGCTTTAATTTTGTTTCAAAAATTTGCTTGCATGTAGAGGTCTTTACCAGTGGGAGGAAACCAGAGGACCTAGAGAAAACCCACGAGGTTGAACAGGCAACCCTAGTTCTTATCATGTACAAGCTGGGAATAGAAACCCAATGACTCTATCACAGACCATATTATCCAAAGCACATGTGTTAAACCATTTGACCAGCCAGTGTTAAAGTACATCTGTGTGATTAGATACATGTATACTAATATTATAAGAACTGTCTATTTTAAGTACATTTACCTTTACCACTACCATTTAATTAAAGCAAGTTCGACCAAATGTATGAAATGGGGTTTTACATCCTACATGTATCTTATTGCCTGAACTGGGCTAATGACAGCACGCTCTTACAGCGCACCACAGTCTACATGCATCATTTATGTGCACACACTTGTACACTGGGCCTCAGTTTTTCGTTCTAACTGAATGAGTAGACACTGTTCTTGCTAGGTCTGCATTCCTGTACAACTGTTTTATTTTCTTTAAAGATAATTTGTGTTAATTTTATAACTATACCTTGTTGAATATCATCCCCACATGTAGCAGCATGCCTCTCAATATGACTTATTTCAAACATATTACTACACAATGGACATTCTATCATGTTACTTTCCATTTCCTTAAAATAAAATACAGGTAAAAATATATTTCTAATTTAAACAAGAGGTTGCCATGTCAAATACGCCCACATTTTACAATAGATTGCTGACTATCGATAGAGTTTGTACTGTATAATGACCCCTCAAATTTGAAACAAATCCGTTAAAAAATATAGCCTCTATCACCTTCAGAAGGTATTCTGCAAAGGGGAGTGTCTTTTTAACGCTATGAAATAAACTAATATAACAAAATACATTGATTTGAAGGATTTGCAATACCAAATATTTAGAAATCCAAAATGCAACAAATCGAATAATAACTTGAATTAGAATATTTAAATATTCAAATAGTATTTGAATAATGACTTAGAAATATTCGAATAGTAAAATCAACATCCCAAGTCTAATATATTTACCGATAGTTACAGGTACTTACAATCTGGTTACTAGCTTCTTCATGTATATCTGCTGTGTGTACATGTACTACTTGTCTTTGTGGTTTGACAGCATTAACAATACGGTCTACAGAACCTGATGGTCCAGCTGCTGGATCAACAATCACAAGTCGATCAGAATCGGAAGAACTCTCAAAATAAGTCTTTTTATTCTGAGTAACAATCGGTTTGACATAAACTGTCTTTGATTTAATTCTCTCATTTCTCAAACTCTCAATTTTCTCAAACAATGGTTGTTGAGACGAACTGTCCTCATTACTTGAAGAAAAACCTTCTTTATTCGATTCATTTATCATTTCTTCATTTAACACTTTACGAAAACTACGTCTTTCATTTTGAATTGTCACTGATGTATGATTGGGTTTTTTATTACAATCCTTTTCACTCGAACTACTGTTGGTTGAATCAAAAATAGTGTGCTTTACTTTTTTACCAAGATTTTTGATAGGAGAAACTAAATCAGAAATAATTTCAGAATGAACTGACTGACTAGGAATAAAATCAATATCTACTGTTTGGTGTTTCGATTGACTCCCTCCATTTTGACTTTGACTGCTATGTGTTAATGTTCCTTGGGATAAAATCTGATCTATGTCAAACCCAACAGAATCTGATTTAGGATGTCTGTCTTTTTTTAGATATGTTTTCGATCCTTTAGTTTTAATATTTGTGTCTGTGTCGTCACTTACAAATACATCCTGATCAGTCAGCAAAGAATAATCAAGGGGAAGTAACTTGCGTTTCTTTTTAGTTGTTTCTCGGAAATGACGTTGAATTAATTGGTCATCATCACTGTCTGAATCAACTTTACGTTTGATAGTCTCCTGTTTTGTTTTTGTTAATTTACGACCCGGCTTATTCTTTTTAATCTGGATCTTTTCAGATTTATTCCCAGTGTTTCTCCTCTGTTGTATCTGAGTGGAATAAAAATCTCCTTGAGAGTTCAAAAAGCCGTTGGACCCTTGACTACATCTGGACTCATCATCTATGATGTGTATATTTACTTCCCGATTTTGCGATGGTAGTGGTGTCGAACTGGAGGATTTGAGATCCTCTGGATCACTCACATTTTTGGATTCGATTTGAAATGGAACGGGCGAGATTGATTTTCTTTTATTTGATAGCCTTGACTTTGGTTTGGGTTTAACTCTTGGCATCCACTCCATTTCAACATAATCTGGATCCTCGAGTAAATCTGTTGGATCATATTCCTGTGTTTCACCTAGGTACATACTGTCTTTAGCTGGATTCGATTTTATATCCTTATCCGTTGATATTGTCAGTTTGATATTAGCAGATATGTCTGACGTTTGTTTGAACGAGACTTCTTTTTCATCTTCCGATGTATCAAAAGTGATCGATTGGCAACCTCTTTTTTTAAGATCGATAGTTTTTGATTGGTGGCGACCTGGTAGAACAGGTTTTCCCCAAGGTAAGCAACATGATTTTGAACGTTTTTGCGCTTTAATCAGCTGATACCTGTATCGTTTCAACATATATATTATGGTAGCTGTATAAGCCGAACAGTGAATTCCCTCAGGAGCATAAAATGGATATTTTTCCTGAAATAAAAAATTAAATATTTAAACCATGGCAAAGACAACAAGAATAATTACAAGAAAAAAAATGGGATACTACATCATTTTGGGTCTAACATATAAGATATCTTTATATGCCAGTGTGTAAGAGAGAGAGAGAGAGAGAGAGAGAGAGAGAGAGAGAGAGATGGGTTTAACACTGGACACAAACTAGGTCACTTCAGGACTAAGATATGGTTTAATTTTATTTCCACAATTTGCTTGCGCAAAAGCCACTCCTTCTCACATTCAAGTGGGGAATCGAAACAACAACAAACCACTAGACCACCCACCCATTGATCATTAAGGAACGGCTATAGAATTATGGATGTTCCAATGAGCCTTAGGCCACAAAAAAATTTACTCTGGTAAAAGATCAGATGTTCAGTTGTTAGCATCTACATACCTTTCGTACCTTTCTGTAAAACCATCAACACAAATATTATGAAAAGCAAAAAAAAATATTATAATTCAATAGGATAAAAATTGTGAATTTAACAATACAATGTTGATCTACATGTAAAGTAAGGAAGCAAAGCAAGAATTGCCAAGAATTATTTTTGGAAACCAGAAGAATTTACTACACTAAATTATAACATTTGTTAGCTTACAAAATTTCTCAGACAATGCTGTACTCTCATTTATACTGTCTGATAGTCCACTTTAAACTAAGAAAATATTCTTGGGATGTCAGTACCTTACGGGAGATAACTATATTTTTCAAATAATTCAATAACAAATGCAGTTATTCCTTCTCTCTATAATCTTTCTGCAGCACCTAACTTCTTGGTGAGTAATTGACATAAACGCTTTTGTATTTTGTATAATTTTAAAGCTTAAAAGATGTTAGTCTATAGAGGTTTACAATCTTTATATTATGCTACTTCCAGTTTGTGTATCTCAAGATTTCCAATCCATGCCACACTCTTTGGCAAGAGAGAGCGAGGGAGAAATGGGGTTTAGCGTCCACTCGACACAAACTAGGTCATTTCGGGACTAACACATGGTTCAATTTTATTTCAACAATTCGCTGGCGCGTAGGGGTCTTTAGCAATGGGAGGAAACCCACGAGCTGGACAGACGACCGTACTCCTTGTCACGTACAACCGAGGAATGACAGACCGTATGATATAGCGCAGTGCGCTAACCATTCGGCCATCCACCCCCCCTCTTTGGCAAGAGTCAATGGCTATACGAAAAAATCTGATTTCTTATACACATGTCCTTCACGTTTAAGACCCACTTTAGCTCTTGCGCCTCTCGACTTATCTTCGGGGGAGTCATTAAATACGCCCGCTAATTAGCTAAATCACTCTCCTCAATATTGAGATTCATAAACTACCGTACTTTTAGTTTTTGTTTATTTTTAAAACTTCACGTTTAAGACGTGCTTTAGCTCTTGCGCCTCTCGACTTATCTTTGGGAGAGTCATTAAATACGCCCGCTAATTAGCTAAATCACTCTCCTCAATATTGAGATTCATAAACTACCGTACTTTTAGTTTTTGTTTATTTTTAAAACTTCACGTTTAAGACGTGCTTTAGCTCTTGCGCCTCTCGACTTATCTTTGGGAGAGTCATTAAATACGCCCGCTAATTAGCTAAATCACTCTCCTCAATATTGAGATTCATAAACTACCGTACTTTTAGTTTTTGTTTATTTTTAAAACTTCACGTTTAAGACGTGCTTTAGCTCTTGCGCCTCTCGACTTATCTTTGGGAGAGTCATTAAATACGCCCGCTAATTAGCTAAATCGCTCTCCTCAATATTGAGATTCATAAACTACCTTACTTTCAGTTTTCGTTTATTTTTAAAACTGCACATATTCGAGTATAATGACCTCCTCCTCGTGCGATGAGCGTTTCCATGGTAAAACTAGAGCTGCCATAATTATTCATCAAACATATTGAATTCTAGTGTAAGGCTCGTTTTAATTGGATAGCAGTCAAAAACAAGCCAATAGAATATGACGTTACTTGACAGCCTAATATGTCGCCGGATGTTGATGGAGAATATCTGCGGGAATGACAGAATGACGTACGTCTAATAATAACATTACGTTGTTTAAAATGTTTTCATGTCTCATTGGCAATGCGTTGATTATCGCTATCAATATGTCTGGAGATGGTCAAAACAGCCAAATATGCGACATTTTAAAATTGGAATTACTGGAGGGCACATAGCCACGGAGGGAGACAAAAATGGGTTTGTAAAATTAGTTTGATCTTTAGACTTAGTGCAAATTCTGCACTAAGAAGCACGCTGACAAATTGATCAAACTGACGAAAATTCATGAAATTATGAATGGCATAATAAAGAGAATATGAGACAAAACTAAAGTATATAAATACAATGTAGAATTAATCTTGCAATATAATTAAGAAGATTATTTTTTTACGGGAGCTTTTTTCTCAATTATTAAATTGGCGAGAGTATTTTATAGCTCCCGCACCATTTCGTAAACGTGAAGGACTGATACACACACCCTTACATCACAAAGCAAAACAACCATAAAAATATATAACAAACTACCTGTAAAATCGTTTCAACGGCACGGAAGAAGTAAAGTCTGGATCAAACCGGTCATCAAGCATCATTTCCGTCTGACTTGTCGTACAGGACTACAACAGAAATTACCAATATACATTAATTCCTTAAATGACATCTACCGGTAGAAGGAATGTTAAATATTCACAACAAAAAGACGACACATAAATACATCTCATTTAGTTACAAAGTTTCCTAACACTTAGCGAGACGTTTCAGCAAGAGTTATTTTATCAATTTCAAGCATGAACACTTATCAAAACATCAGAATATTTAGAAGAAAAAACAATTGATTTCATTCCATACAAAAGGTCTTGGTGTTTTTAAAATATAGCTGGCCAAGTATTATTTTCCCTGTGTTAAACAGGCATTATGCAAGAGCTAAATCTGCTTATTTTACAGGTCTTTCTTTAAGCCTGAAATGTTATATACATTATTAATTAGACATTTAACTTACAAAGACCATAATTAACTCTTGGTACCATCCGATGACAGCGATATAAGTAGATTTAAACACGTTTTGTGGTTGATGTGGTTTCCATATAAATGGATTATCAAACTTTGTCTTTGTTTATTATCGTAACATCCGCAGCTAAGACAATTGAGGTTAGACTATAATTGTATCGCTGATATCTAGGCTAAGGGTGAAGTCATTTGAGTGAAATTTTCAGCATATTCTCTTTCCATTATCCATTTTTTTTAACTATTATAGCAAAAAATTGTCAGCTCTTTATCTAATCTTACCTAATGCAACTTTAATCTTCCTAATCTAAACACCTAGATTGAATGTCCATATAGAAAGTTTGGCGAACTATTGCCTAAATCATGATGCAGTTGGTCAGATGCTCTTTAAATATGAGTAGGGCTCTTGAATACCATAATATAACAAATGTGTCAAAGAATCGGGACATTATTTACCAAAGATGCATGTATAAAGCAAATAGAATTTATGTTAGGGTCTTTCTCAGAAATATACCTGTTGTGAACAGTCTTCATCAGTCAGCATTCTGTAATTATAAATACAAACATATTTGATACAGTCTATAACCAAATGTGAAGAGATCTTTGCCTTAATGCAATTAACTCCTAATCTCTGTCATCCAAACTATAATGCTCTATGCTCTCTTGACAAAGAATGGAACATTGGTCTATGCGATTTGAGTATGGCACGCTTGTGCACATGTCCAAATTTGACGACTATACAGTTTAATAATTGAAATAAAAACCTATTTGAAATTCATGCAAAAAAACATATATTATCTCATTGTTAAGAGAATGAAATTAAACATCCTACTTTTCTGCACCTTTCAGGCTAATGCAATGTGCTACATGTATGTGGAAAATGTTGCTTGGACAGCGGTGCTACAGACTAGGCCTACTTTTATTTCAAAATCAAACTGTCAAGGATTCGATCATGTGCACGTTTTTTTGTCCCATCCAAACGACACAATGTATACATTGTGCCTTGCCTGGCCCTCCGTCCTGCAAGACTGAAATGAACTTTCTGGGCTAACACTGTGACCAAACACGGGACCATCAGATTAGTGATAAAGAGAATCTCCATTTAGTTAGTTATATCTGACAATCAGGCTGACTGGTTAATCAGGTGACATCTTATTTTTATATAATCACCTGTTGTCTTCTTCTATATCATCTGGTGGTTGGGTGGCATCAGATTCATATTCATTTTCCATTTTCAGGCCTGTCTCAAACTTTTAACTGTATCAAAAATATAGAATACAGTATTGGAATAATGAAAGTAGGTAGCCCATTGTATAAGGAGAATTCAATTCAGTTAGAATTATATATTAACTTGTCAGTGTATAGTATTAGTAGCATTGTTGTAGTTAACACGCCACTTAACTCAGAATATTTAATTTTCCATCATGATATTGATATTGATAATTCATAGATCCATGTGATCATGGCTCATCTCTGCATTTTGCCATTTGTTATTAAAGCGTAAACATTGGCAGTCACGTCTCATTAATGGTAACTCATAGAATATTATGAACACCTGGTGTCAGCAATTTTAATGTGAGAATATTTATAGTGTCATAATAATGTTTCTGCATCACTGGATGTACAAGACTAAAAACAACAACAAAACAAACATACGGACTAACGGAGGATGTCAATAAAGCAAATATCAGGGAATTCGGCTTTATATAAGTCCTCGTAAATTATTCTCTGAGCTCTGGGGTAACTGTTCGGTAACAACATTAATCATGTCAGAATAAATATCCTATGTTTATGGAATATTTATCACAGAAATTTGGTTGATTTCTTTTAGAACTGGCGGGACTTCCAACACTTCCGTTCTAGCCATCAATTTAAGGGAGATAACCTTCTTTTTTGTCCACTGGACGCAGACCACAATTAATATTCATTTTGACATCAATGTTAACCCTGGTCTAATCGGTCGATTCCAATTCCCCCCCCCCCCCCCAAAAAAAAAAAAAATATTAGCTCAACACTTTTCACTACTGACAGGGGGCCAAGTCTTTGCCCCTGACCACAGCAATTTTGAGTTACAAAAACGTGTAGTCGCATACTAAAAACGTGTAATATATCCGCCTAGTCCCTGATCGGACGCTGTCTTCTGGTCGTCCCTGGCCCTACAAAATTCTACTTGAAAATAGTTTTTGAATTTTTATAAATTTGTGTCAGATGTGGCGAAAAATGATCCCTTTTGGCGAAAAAAAAGAATCACAGTGAAAAATATAGAAGGTAAAGGATTCCAAAATAGCCTGGGACGACCAGGATCGGTCAGATAATGACAGCGTCCGATCAGAGACCGTTCCTAAAGAAAGGAACTATTATCTGCCGTACATATCGCCCTAACCATTTTTCCGTTTTCTTCGATTCTAGACCGAAAAGTTAACAAACATGGCCATTCAAAAGGGGAGAAAAGGGCTAAATCTATAATTTTCGTCAACGTCACTGATATGTAAATAAGGTTACGACTGTTGGTTATGGTTAGGGCGAGCATTAGGGCTAGGTCTAGAGTTAGGGTTAGAGTTGGGATTAGCGCTAGCCCTGTCTACATCTCGTGACCTTTGACCAAACTTGAAGTTTGCCTTATCAAATATATCTAACCTGAGAAAGGGAGAGCTATAAATAGGCGAACTACAAATCGCGGGTTGATCATGGTCTGCCTCCTATATAGTTTTAAAAGTTCATATATCAGCAAAATTCTTTTCTTCAGAGCGTCCCAATTATTCTAGCAACATATTTTAAATATGAATAAAATACAATTGCAACTTCAAGTCAAATATAAAATGAAAATGAAATGGGGTTTAACGTACCTTACACGTTCTTCAGCTCGGACTGGGCTAATAAAGACGGGCATACGCCATTACACAGTGTGCTATGAGGAAAATTTTGTACGGACAGCGACGCAATGACCTATTCTTACATCGAATTCAATCTGCCGAATGTTATTTTACGTGCACACTAATGTGTACACGAGACCTCGGTTTTCGTACCAACCGAACGACTATAAACTACCACTTGCTAGGCCCTCAGTCCTGCACCGCTGACCAAAATTTCATTAGTCAACCTCATAGGCTGTAAATTTGGAGCAAAGTTCTACTTTCGCAGAACAGGTCACACGGATTGACGTATTTGGAATTTTGTCACTAGGATAATCTTTCGCATTGGTTATTCATGACACGTTGGGTAGAGTAATACCTCACACCCCCACCACCCCCACCACCCCCACCCCCACCCCCAAACGCCTGATCGCCATCCACAATCGAAAATATACACTAGAAAAGTTTATACATTCGGTAATATCCACTTTTACTTTTAACCAATTGGACCATGAACTCGTGCTATTGTAGGGAATGGTCTGGGTAAATATAAGGTACGTGTACAGAGTAATCGTTATGAAATGGGCAGTATATTTACTTAGATAAACTTACCCGATACAACTGAAGTTAGCACAGAAGCGAACGACTAGTCTTACTTATCAGTTTACCATATATTCAAAATGCTTTTACGACTTATTTTAGTTTGCCTCATATTAGCATCAGGTAAGATCTAATGAATTTTAAAACTAAAATACTAAATTTGAACGATCTGGTAAGTTATTTTAGTCGCTGTCATATTTGAATCAGGTAAGATATGATGAATTTTAAAACTACTGACATAGGCTGATCTGATAGGTTATTTTGATTAGCGATGGAATAAACTCTATATACTAAATATTTGTTTCAAAATGTTAAGCGGACATTAGTTTGTGTACCAATTTAAATTTCATTTTTGACATGAATTGTGAATACAAAATCAGTCACATCTCAAAACTGGATTGATCTATAATGACGTAAATTTGGAATGAAGATAGACTATCATCTCACGTCAAAACTACGATGGCTCAAGCAGTTCATTGTAAATTTGAAAGTAGGAATATTTGAAATATTCAAGCTCTCGTGCTCTAGTTGGGCTTATCGGAAATATGATTGGTTCAACTGATAAAGCTGTATCTATGATTTAAATTACAGGCAAAATTACAGGGGTTGGGGGAGGGGGGGGGGAGTATTGTTCTCTTATTTATGGTTGGCGTGGGGCAACTGTAATACTACTTCTGAACTATTTTACAGTAGAACAGACAACAAATGCTGCTGCGACATGCAAGGCAGATATACTTTCTAATGAATGTCCATTAACTGGTTTGAAAAATAACCCAACCACAGATGAGGAAATTCAAGCTTCTTGCGGGTATGTTAATTGTCAGTGATATTAATGCGAGTATAATAGGTAATGATATTAATGCGTGTGCAATAATAATAGTGAATGATATTAAAGGAGCTAAATCTCTGACTCAATATTCTTTTCATAATATTCGAAATTAAAATTACGAATTAGAATTCAATATTGGAGCGAAAATTGCAGACAAAACCCCATTCCCCCGAGTTCCTCGGTCATGGCAATTTCGACATATCAACAGCCCGAATGAGCATTGTTTCCGGAACCTTAACCCTCTTCATCGAATTCCATGCACGCCAGGTTTGTTTTTTACTTGCAAGCCGACGTATATATACGTTGTCTCTCTGCTTATCCCGTCTTACACCACCACACCTACCGCACAAAAAGGGCCTGGAAAGGCAGGGTGTCTAGCTGTTCGGCTGGGAGAAAAACATGGCCCGTGTACAGATTGGCGTGCATGTACAAGAACCTGTGCCCGTCTTCATTAGCCCGGGTGGAGTAGAGAAGTAGGACGCTAAACCCTATTTCATTTTGTGTTCGTGTAAGTAATCCCTTTATGTAAACGCTTACAATGTAAAAAAAACCGACAGCAGCGTCATATATTTAGTTGACACACTCGTCAAAAACTTAATTTATTTACATTTTTGGCGTTTTATTTCCTGAAGGATTTACTTTATTTATTTTATTTGACTTCAGTTTATTTTGGTTGGATTTATCTCCCCGGGGGTACAAATATCACCGTCGTGACATTCTCATGCTCTGTCTTTTTCAGGATCTTCAAGACATATTTCACCTGTGTTGATACAGTAATATCAACTTGTTCTCAGACTGTCAGAGATACCGTCGAAGCAAGACTAGATCCATATAAGACCCAGTATAATGAAACATGTGCCGGTAAGTAGATGACGTACGAAAGGGTCGCGTAAGATTTCTAAATGTGTTTGATTGGTTGTTAAAATGTTTGTTAACCAATCGTAATTCAAGTCCGTAGAATTTGTCAATATGTTTAAATTGTGTAAAACTATAATCCTGATTATGAACTATTTTACAGTAGAGCAGACAACATGCAAGGCAGATATACTTTCTGATGAATGTCCATTAACTGGTTTGAAAAATAACCCGACCACAGATGAGGAAATTCAAGCTTCTTGCGGGTAGGTTTATTGTCAATGATATTATTGCAAGTATAGTCAGTTATATTATTCTGGTCACGTGTAACTATTGAATATGCTGTGCTAAAACTGTTTGCCATTTATATCTTGGTATTATAGTCATTTGTAACTTTTTGAATCTGCTGTCCTAAAATTGTTTGACATTTACGCCTAGAACCCACTCTCTTTTATTCAGGATCTTCAAGACATATTTCACCTGTGTTGATACAGTAATATCAACTTGTTCTCAGACTGTCAGAGATACTGTCGAAGCAAGACTAGATACATATAAAACCCAGTATAATGAGATATGTGCAGGTAAGCAGTATAACATTCTCCAATATTTGTGGAGTTCCATAGCAAATTTTGTAATTGAATAAACCTGGGCAATAATAAGCTTTTAGCTATAAGGATTATCATAACTCCCGTGGCATTTGATCGTAAGTGTTATAAGATTGGTCGCTGAAATGATTGTTAACCAGTCGTAAGTTAACACAGAAAACACCATTCAGTGCAGCAAGATTATTCATCACGCCACAGCGCTATTTCACTCTGAGCAATGCTGGGTTTCGTGCACGAAATAATAAATGGCATAATAATAATGAGCTTTATGATATTTAAGTTGAATATTATGTCAGTATTCTGAAATAGGGCCGCCATGTTTCCAGAATAACACGTACATGCATTAATAAGATGTGCAGACAGGGATGTTGCAAACGGACGTAAATTAAATTAAATGTGTTAAGACATAATATCCAATTATTTAACATTTTCAAACCGGTGAAGTCAGGGTTGTATTAACCATTAAACAAATAGGCACGTGTTTAGGGCATCATGGCCGAAGGGGGGGGGGGCACCACCTGCTTTGTTATATGAAAAATTTATAATGTATAATTTAATTAAAAAATTAATTAAGCTTTCCATTGTTTTTCTGCTTCCTTAGTGTTTCCCGCGTTGTCGCAACAAATCATGACGTGTATAAAACATCATTTTTAAGAATACAAATTTATTTTATGGTTTATTTTTATTTATATACATATATGGGGCCACCAAACTCTGTTTAGTGCATAGAGCCTTTATTATTCTTAATCCAGCCCCGTGACAAGTCATTTAAGCTAAATATCTAGGACAACTATATGCCTTTCAAGAGAGGTTAGCCCTACGCGTATAGTTACCCTAATGCAAACATAACAGTTTGTATAATACAAACCATAACACGGCTTTTGATTGACTGTAATGTATAAATGCTTATGCCATTCTATTAAAGGTAATATTACTGTACTCGACCTTTGGAAGGCAGCTCTAAAATAGTTGTACTAGGAAGCAGACCACCAAATATTTTCTCCTTGAATTTCATGTTAACTTTCGTCTCTTTGCCCCTTCTCTAACATTCCCCGAAACACATTCTGCCACAGATAGAGTAACATTTCATCGTAAATAATCTCTCAACCCTGCGCAAAAACCCAAAACCATGACGCAAAGCGCGTCATTGCGTCCTTCTCACTTAGCCCTTGTGTGTAACATACAATATAATAAAGTATAGCTTCACCATTTCTGTTATATTTAATGTTTTTTTGTTATATTTAATGTTTTTTTTGTTATATTTAATGTATTTTTGTTATATTTAATGTTTTTTTTTGTTATATTTAACTATTTGATTTAGGTTTAAAAAAAGGGAGAGAAGCTATAGGCCGATGTTTAGTTTATATAATTAGTATAATTGGCCAAGATCTGTACGATTAAATGTCTGATTCGAAATATTATTTAAATTCGGTTTGTGCATTCATTTTAGTTTCATATTTTACTTAATGTGTCGCACACATAATCGGGTTTATCTGAACATAATAGGCCGTATCTTAGGGCGTAAAATATTGAACGTATACAGATTATCATTTTGTCTACCTTTCAACTACAGAAGTCGTTATAAACAAAGCAAGGATATATAGGCTGAAATGACCGAGACTAATCAATACAGGGGGGGTGGAAGGCTGAATAGTTAGCGCGTGTGGGCGCTGTATCATAAAGTCTGTCATTGAGTCGACTGGCGTGGTTTCGAATCGTGGGTTTTATCCGGGTCCTCCAGTTTCCTCCCACTGCTAAAGACCCCTATGCGCAAGCGAATTATTGAAATAAAAATAAACCATATGTTAGTCCCGAAATGACCTAGTTTGTGTCGAGTGGATGTTAAACCCCATTTCTCTCTCTCTCTAATCAATACATAAAATCCAGTGAGGTCCACAATTTAATTTTGATCCTGATAAAAAGAAGCCACGGAAATTATTTTAGTTATCTTGTAATTTCAGGTATGGCGATTAGTCCATGGAATACCGGTGTCTACCTTATTATTGCCTTGGTTATTTTCACCTACGATAGATTTGTTTAAATCGTCCCTGGAAAGAAAACGTCGTTGATATGTATAAAGACAGCAACCCGAATTTTAAAGTTGTGACAATCAGACATTCCTTGTGACCAATGTAATTAAATTATCAAATGACAATTTCGTTCCGTTTTATCTATGATTTGTTACACAAATAACACCGAATGTGTGGCAAGGAAAGGGCACAGTCGTTCAATAGGACGAAAACCGAGTTTCAGCTGTGTGTACTCATTTGCTTGCACGCAACAGATCCGTTGACAGTTGGAAATGCACGAAGAGTTGGACGAACGAGCTAATATTATTAGCCCTCCTTGCAAAGGGAGACACCGAATGGTAGTTGGCTATTCCAACAATCACAGATGACGTCGTTCTGGGGACTGCACAAGGCTTTGATTGGTAATCGAACATCCATAGCAGGCTTTAATAAGACAGAAAATTCTGGTATAAGCCGTGTACACGTCTAGGGTAATCTGAATATTTTCGGGGAATTTAGAATAATTGGACATTAGGTATTTTTCCTAATGTTGGAAGAGTCGTTTGTCGTTATTTCCATTTTCCCAGACAATATTAAATGTACGCTAAGATGTGCGTAAATTCATTATAGTGATGGGTTAGTAAACATTTGTGTCAGATGTTGCGAGGAATGATTCCTTTTGACGAAAATGGAATAATCACTGTGAAAAATAGGCGGCAAGGATTCCAAAATAGCTTTAGAACAGAGGTGGGGTTTAAGCGGCATTTTCATATTGCAGCTTAAAAAAGGGACAGATAGGAAGGGTGAGAAGACGTCCTCGGAGCAGACACCAATCCTAAAGGAATTACAGGTTTGATTTAGCTCCTCCCGTCACCTTTATCAACCATACTTTGTCTGAAGGAACCTTCAGAAATCGTGAAAAAATTGGTCATGACCAGTCTCCGTAATACTATTTGGTAATTTATGCGAAATTGCATTAGGACATGATTTATAATTTGCAATATGATTAAAATACAGATGTATCGTTTTTTATACACTTTCGACGGCCTACACTTCATGAAGATCTAACCTGTTGTAGTGGAAGGTCGCATCGGGTGTCATACGAGCGGCTTTTGGTCGTATGACGTCAGACATTGATTAATCAGCGTTGATGTTTCTAGTGGTTTACCCAAAGTTCCGTGCACCCGACGCCAAAAACTCGTCGTAACAGACCGTTTCATTGGCAAACCCCTCACATCAACCAGAACATGGGTTATATAACAACTCTTCCAGAACCTAGTGTAATAAACGAAATTTTGGACTATAAAAAACGAAACGAAATAGGATCTGTGTTTTAATCAGATTGTATATTTGATAAATACATAATATGTTTTATTTGTCTTCTTCATTGTCAAAGTATTAACTTTGGCATAAGTTTATTTGAAAACGGAAATTAAATTGTTTATGAAATATTGTGAGAATAACAGGTAAAGGTGTGTAAGGCCAAGGATAAATTCATTGGTCTAAAACACGTGATAGGAAAATTACGATTACACCATTGCTAATCATTATAATTAATCATTATAATTAATCATTATAATTAAATAATTTGACCAATTAAATAATAGATAGCGGAAGTCCTGGCATAAAAATCTACAGAGCTGTAGGCGATTTTAGCATATATGCTGTTTCTACACATCAACAACCAAACAATAAGTTCTTTTATTAAATAAAGGGGAGAACCTCCCGCTAAACTCACTCCATGGCGTAAGGTCGCAAATGGAAAGATTGCAAAATCATATTCTAAAAACAGGAAGAAGCTTCGACACTCCTATGTCTTGTCTGCGATATCACTTCTGTGGAAGCACAAGTAGTAGTAGGCGATTTTTAGACACCGTGTAGAGAGCAAATACTATCTAGGTTCGTTGGGAGAGACTGTTGAGGTTCAAGAGACAACATCTGGTTTCAGAATGCCCCCAAAGTCGTACGATAGCCCTATGATGTCGTGGGATCCGCCAGTAAACTCGTGCTGGTAGGTTTGACAGAGTAGAGAATGGTTTTTATTTTAATCCATGCTTGTAACCTACGTATCCAGTGCTTAACTTAAAATGTAGAAACGAACTGTGGTATTGTTATTCCTGTAAATAATTGTATGAAGATGTAAATTCACAACGTGGGATGTCAGAGGGACATTTAACGAAGCGTCCTGGCCATAAGTAAAGAATTAAAAATAACCAAAGACAATACTAGACGATCACAAGGCTAATAAAATATGTAGCAGAGGATAGAGTATGCGTCACAAGTTGGATGTAGGCAGTTTTTGACAGGTGAGCCTTCCACATCTATCAGTGACGCATTCATGGTATTACATGTTTGATTTGGTTGCCGAACTGCATATATAGTGCTGCATCTCCAGCAGTGGACAAAAACATTCAGAATGATCACATCTGCACTTTTATAACCAAATAATTAAAAGAATTATCAGATTTGTATTATAATTAAAATAAACGCTTGTTCGTATAATTAGTAGTGCAAAGAAACTTCTAAAATCGATTAACGGAGCATACAAACCTTCACTATCACCTCCACCCGACGACATTCACCCTTCTACAGTGCATAAATCTGTTAATGTAATCAGCACTGGCGCGTCTACTTTTCCCGAAATTTGCATGCAAAACAGAAAGCGAAAGTGAAACGATATCGTAAGGCTGAATACCACGACATGATTTATGATCATAATGATGCTGTTGCAACAGATGACACACTTGCTCAGTCTCCTCCTACAATCTTCTCGGATTTACAAATACACGTTCAGATTCACAAGGACACTCTTCATTTATTTCAAAGCACGTGTTTTTCTTCCCAGTGTAGGCTTCTACTAGACTTGTAGGCACGTTAAACTAGCCAACGAAACTAAATACCAAGTTTCTTCATGGACTATATCCCCGTCAAATGGTCCATGGTTTCACCACTTTCACTCATTTATAATTATAAGTATATAACTATCGAGTTCTGAAGCATTTTTGAAATCTTTATAGTGGCGGGAGCCCGGCTTCAGATTCCCCAGTAATCGTTCGTTGCTATACGTTGTTGGGGTCTTTTGCGAACTATTCAGGCTTAGGACTAAGTGAAAACGATTATTTCAAATCATAAAATAATACTTTATATCTATACTTGATAATAAATATACTGTTCTTATGCCATATTGGCATTTTTAATTTAAAATCGTAACGTGTTTGTATCAAAAATTTCCCTCAAAATTACCGGGAATTGTCACAAAAAAGTTAAGGAAAATGACAATTTACCAAAAAACGGTATATTATCAAATATCAATATATTATTGTGATATGAATTAAAATAATGGTGGATTTGGTTACAACTTCTAAACTTGCTTGAAAATCGCACTTTGAGGGGCATTTTGACACAAAAACGTTACGATTGTAAATTAAAAATGACAATTTGGAATAAAGAACGGTCTATTATCAAATATCGATATAGATTAGTCTTACAAATTGAAATAATGGTGGATTTGGGTATATTTGGGTGGATTTGGATAAATCGTGCTACCAGTAGAATGTCAATCTGTTTCACAGAGAATTACGAGTCTAGTAATATATTTCACAGAGAATTACGAGTCTAGTAATATCTCTGTCAAAGATGACTGCCTTAACACGTGCCGTCACAGCACGCGGCGTCAATCATTGGGTGAATGTCGCGTGCATTGTTTACATAAGACGTTACTGCTTCGGGCAGAATGCTGCCTTTTAGTCATTTTAATACCCATTTACACTAAATAGGAAATAATTTTTACCTACAAATACGTCAAACACCTTTATTTTTCCAATACAAAAAAAAAAATGTTTTAGAATTTAATTTGCTGCAGGAAAAAAGTTAATATTTCTGGCTCATTAAGTCGCATCGATGTCATCCTTATCAGTGATTGTCGCGGCCTAGCGAAAATTGGCTGCTGATCAGTGTGAGAGAATGTACGGTCGTCCCCTTTATTCCATATAGTTTTTTAGAATCGGGTACCTGGCCGGTTTCATCGTCGCACCATCCGCAACGTGTGAACAGAAATCCGCGGATTAAAAATATTGCTGTTATACAAGTACAACTTTCGCATAGGATAGAGTCAAAGAAAAGTTTAAGTCACGAAGGACCCGCGGTGTTTGTATATCCTACTTTAATCACTGTTTAGTCTAGAAACAGAAAAGGGAGACCCATTATCAAATCGGCAAAACGTCTTGGGGTTAAAATTGTATTAGAAATACATGTAGTAATGTTTCTTTTATTATGAATGTCTAATACTCAGAAACCATAAAAAAATATGAATATTTATAAAAATGAAGTAAAACCAAACCCGAAATTAATTTTGTTGAAATTCATGCCCAGTAATTGCGGGCGTATTGACAAGTCCAAGTTGCTCGTTTTGACTCATCTTACACGCTGGTTATGGTCGTTTTGACTTTGAAGACAAGTAATTAACTTCCGTTTCCGTTTAGTAACTTCCGTAAACAAACAAGATCGGTGGAAAGTAAAATATAAAAATTAAGATAGGTCAACAAAATCAACAACAAATTACAAGATGTCATCATCAAGACACCAGCTTGGAGTTATTGAATACCGTACCTAAATAACAGACGTCTGCCAGTCCCAGGACAAAAAATCAAGAGACAAACGCACAGGAATCAGGACGAAACCGGGTAAAAACATTTTCAAAAGTCTGATTTCACATTTTTTTTTGTATCTTGTGAAATGGGTTAGAACCCAATGTAAATCGATCGAAATCAAAAAACTAAATATCTAATATCTACCCCCCCCCCCCCCCCACTAATTAGAATTCGGAACTATTTCCGTATTAACGTATCTCTACCAGTTCCTGTTATCGTAGAGACTTGAAATTTACAGGGGATGTTCAGGTTCAGGGGGGCTAGTAATGGTCATGAACACCCCCTGAAAATTTCAGGAACTGGTAGAGGTAAGTTACTGAAATAGAACCAATTTTAATATTGCCATGGCTATTACGACAAGTTGCAAGAATTATTGATCGACTATACATGTACTTATGACATGGTTGAAGTTCCAGTAGCGCAGATTGTTTCACAAACGATAAAATAATGATGATAAAGATCGAGGTGTAGAATGGAATAAGCAGGCGTAAACGACTGCCATCCAGTTTAAATTATCACATATTTCAACAAACATAATTGATTAGAAATTACAATATTTTTTTCAAAAATTAAATATATTATAAATCACTTTACATTCATTACATTAATAATATATGCTTTTAGAATCATTTTCGTGTATTTCAAAGTTCGATAAAATGAGGCCTTAAGTAGACTGAAGCTTACTGTTGTCAAATATAAAACTTTCACAAATGTGTGAATTAAGCTTATCAACTGTGCCAAGCTAATTCTTTTTCCACGATTATTTCAGACAAAAATTGGTAAAAGAACGAGTAACACCTGTACATAATAGATCAGTTGTGCCTGTCAGAAGACATTTACTACCACCTTTAATTAAAGGAAAAGCTAATATTAATCAGTAAGCTTAATTCATATATACATGTAGACTCAAGTTTTGAATGGAAATATTGACCATTCGACTCTTTAATGTCCCCTTTTTTTTTGCATTTTAATTTTATTATCCAGAACTAAAAAAGTTAAGGGAAGTTGGGTTTATATGAAAGTGATCCCTTTCTCTAATTCTGTCCCGGTTTGTTTCCAAAGCATAAAATGTTCATGATATTTTTTTTGGAAACTTTGTACACACATCAACCTATTATAGTAGTTGTGCCTTTTGTTATTAAAACATTTCTCAGATTCAGTAATTTTTATGTTTCCATGGAAACAAATTTGGTATAGTTTGACTGGATTATGTTGTCTTTATTTCAGTCTACCTGATGAATTAATGTTGAAGTTATTTGAATATTTGGGTGCATCAACGTTATTAACTGCTGCATGTGTATGTAATAGATGGCATGGTTTGGCTACAGAAAAGTAAGAATTTTAATGTGGTGTTCTATACACAGAAATAACAATAATGAATCTAGTAGTTTGGGTTAATAAAAAGTTTTCTTACACAAACTGACAGTCCATTCTTAAAAGGTCATGTGATCCCCTTGAATAAAATATGCAATATGTAATACTGCATACGTATGCAATGAATCTACATTTTTGAAATAAATTTTTTAAAAATTCAGGTATTTTTAAAAGGATTTTGTACTTTTTTTTAAGGATTTATATATTTTGTTAAAGGATTTATATATTTTGTTAAAGGATTTTTGTATTTTGTTAATGTTAGATCTGTATTTTAGCTCAGTCGGAGCAGAACAGTAGGACGTTAAACCCCATTTCATTTCGACTTTTTGTTCTAATTATTACTATACGTTCTTTGTCTGATATATTTCATTCTGTTATGTTTATTATTATTGAACTGATACTTGGCTATTTGATTCCCAATAAAACTCTTGAACCTACATATTATATTAATTGTAATTTGTTCTTAATAAATACGCATTTAGGCTACCTTATGGCTAATTCGTAACCTTGTCTCTTGAAGGAGAGCCTTTACGTTTTGCTTACTTTACCCGGTGGGAGTCACTCCCATTTTGCAATTAACGATTTATGGGACTGGTCAATAAAAATAGCACAATCATCAAGGGCAGATATCTTGAAAATGTTAGATCTGTATTTTAGTCTAGTCAGAGTAGAACATTAAACCCCATTTCATTTCAATTCTAGATTTGTATTATTCATTTCTTTATCATATATTGCAGTTCTATATGGATAAATATTTACAAAAAATATGCCAAAGTTAAAGGAAACCAAGCTGTTAAAGACTCAAAGCTACCTTTGTCTTACTGGAAAAATCTTTGTCTAAAAAGGTAATTACATCTTTATCCATCCGTTCACATTTTGTGGATCCCTCTGAGTGCAAGTCACAATTTTTATTAGATTTTGACAAAACTTGAAATAGAGGTTTATATCCCAAAGATCTCAGATCCTTTTGATATTGGTATGTATCGGATTGTAACTTTATGGATTATGGCCCCTGATTGTATGTAAAATCATGTTTTTAGCTTGTGGACCCACTAGGGGTTACAATTTTTATCCGATTTTAAGGAAATTTAAAGTATTATGTTTCTAATTTATATGCCAAAGATCTTAGTCCCTTTTGATATTGACATATGTCGGACGGTAACATCCAGGATTATAGGCCCTTATTGTATTGAAGTCGTTTTTTATTTTAGCTTGTTCTCTGTCCATCTCTTGCAAAATGTGGGTGTATCTTGCATAATGTTCTTGATTAATAGCAAGATAGATCTAGTATAATTTTAAAATTTACCATGCATTTATAGATATAAACATTTCATGATACATTCAACTCTTAAAAAGTTCAAAGATATCATTCTGTTAGATTAATAAATAAAATTTTATTCCAGATGTTCGGAGGATAGAAATAAAAGTATTTTGAAATTAATGAAAAAAACTCATCCTTTTACTGGTTTACCAACTAATACAAAACTGGCAATGACGTAAGATTTGTTTTCAATTATGTTTACACCACAATTTTACTATATAGAATTTCTCTTTGTTGGCCAAGAATGTTCCTCGGTTGTAGAGAATTGAGGGCCTAGCAAGGAAACGTGTCTAGTTGTTCTGAGGGTATGAAAATATAATCTGAAAGCTTATGTATTTTATTTTTTTAAAAGTCGCTGATCCTTATTGTTCATTTTCTGAACAATATGTAACTTTTCACGGCTTAATCATGGAGCCATGGTAAGAGGCTGGCTCCCTAGTCTGGAGGTAGCATGTTCGATCCAAGAAAGTTAATCGGGATTTTCGGACGTGGTTTACCCTTGTCAGTGGTGCAGGATGGAGGAGCTGATAAGGACAGCTGTCTAGTTGTTCAGATGTTACAAAAAACCAAGTCCCCGTGTACACATTGGCGTGCACGTAAAAGATCCCTTGGCAGTTGCCGCTGCCCGGGCAAAATTCCCCTTGTAGCACACTATATGGCGTATGCCCGTCTTCAATAGCTCATTCGGAGCAGAACAGTAGGACACTATATCATTTATTTATTTATCTATTAAAACATTTGGTCCGAGTAGTCTTTCTGCTTGGTCCGAGTGGTCTTTTCGTTTGGTCCGAGTAGTCTTTTTGTTTGGTCTGAGTGGTCTGACAACTAGTCCTAGTAGTCTTTGGTCCGAGTGGTCATGGAACCATTTCATTTCATGGCTAAATCCATACAGAAAAACGGAATTGACCAATTTTTGGATTATATTTATTTTTAGATATTCAACTTTCTTTCACAATATTATAGCGAGCTTTACATCCGCATATAAATTGTGTTTATTTTAGATGATTTTAAATCAAATCCATATTATTATTATTATATTTTTTCATCAGGAAATCTGGTATATATTATCATCTGAGAATAATTGATCGTAACGGACAAGAATCTAGTTGTAAATCAGCTGGTATATTTTGGCACAGTATGTCGGTATGTGTTAGATGGTATAATCTACAGACAGTTCCGTTAAAAAATATACGTAAAATACAAATCTTATCCTGTAACCCGTTATTTTTTGATAATAGTGGAACAGCTATAAATAACAGGTAAGCTTTTTTTAATATGCTAAACATAGAGATATTGTCTTCACTGCAGTCTGTCAAATCTATTCAATAAAATTAGATTTTATTTCTTGAAAAATAAGAAATAAACTAAAGAAAGTGAAAATGCTGATAATGTGAAGTTTGAAGTTCTAAATGGACTATCATAAGACCACAAATGGTTGAGTTATGTTCACTATTTACAAAGAATTGATCATTTTGCAATATTTTTCATCCTCTAAAAGTGTAAAAGCTAAAATCGTTTTTAATCTTGAAGTGTAAGATTATCTGCCGTTGATATTTTTGTTTTGTTTTCTTAAAGATACATTATATAAGATTTAGATAAAGTGCTGGCCGTTCTTCATATAATCATTCAAAAATAGATAATGCAAAATGAATATATTGAAAATTTCGTTCAAATTACTCTATTGCGAGTGAAGATATTAGCCTTTGAAGGTTTGACAAGATGTGTGCATTAATTGAAACCACCATACTGGTTTTTCGAAGCTAAACCTTGCTTCTCCATTTTTTAAATTAAATCAAAATATGGCTGTTCTAATCTTCTTTATATCAGAGATTTACCTCTTGCATAATGTATGTTTAATTAAATGTTAAATAATCAATTTGAGTACATTTTAGTCTGGACAAAGTCATGAAAAATTAGATATTGTCTGAAATATTCAAATGACTATTAGTAGCGTTAAGTCACATTTTGAATTGATATAAAGTCTCCATTGTTTGATTTAGTTCTATCTGTATTGTTTCTTCAGTCCTTATCAAAGATCTTTATTAACTGAGTGCAGTTTTAAATGGGAAGTCTGGAAGAGAGAGAATAAAGCTATAAAAGAAGACGAGAATGTCCAGTTGTATCGTCTATCTGATGATATATTAATTGCTACATGGAAGGTATAACTGTTTTTAATCAAACAAACTTCTTACTGAAATATTATTTGTAATAATAAAAGATGACTGTATAACTTGGCCCCAATATTCGTGACTTTAGATGAGAACAGTGGGGTAAGATCTTCTGAATACCTTTTTAGTGGTAAAGAAAATATGACCGGTTGACAAAATATGGAAGTGAAAACCCATGAATTGTCTGCACCTCTTGTAACGATGTCATATTATTGTGTCATTTGGTCTGTATTCATTGTGTGCATTATTTCTATATGTAAAATTTTGTTTTTATCCGGAAACAGGCTGATGAGGAATTAGCTTTTATTGTGACAGGATTTCATCAAGAGAACTTGGTTAAAAGATGTTTACTGGGCTCCTCTCAGATGTAAGTATGAATTGCTTTAATAGACTACAAGTGTTTATTTATACCTTGTAGACTGTACAACATAGATTACAAACTATCCTTTTTCTTTAAAACTACAAATCAGAAGATCTACAGTTTTCAAACGGTTGTATTATATAGTTACTTCTCACCCAAAGTACTAAATTCCTCTCAAATACGCCATTCACAGGAAAGGTTGCCTGAATCTTAGAAAAAAAAGAGCCCCAAAAAATCAAGTAAACCTTGTCTGAAATATGTAACATTTTCTGCAGTTACATGATTTTAAAGAAATTTTGATATGTTGGATTCAAAGTAATTATTAATGCAAAATTTGATAAATATAGGTTATGTATGTATAGAGAATCTCCTACCGGTCTTTTTTGATATGTTTTGATATCAAAAAAGACGAGTAGGAGATTTTATTTATCACCCAATCCCTTCTTACATACACAAATAGATAAATATAATTCTTTGTTGTAGATTTCACTTTTACTGAACATTACGGCGTAGTGACACATCTTTTTTTGACAGCAATTCAACCATTGCAAAGTCCTTTATATTGACCCAGTGTTTCCATCAAGGTCAATTGAATAAAAATAGTTCATTTTTGATAAAAAAAAGTTACTTTTAATAAGAAATGAACTGTTCTTTGAAAATAAAAAAAAAGTAGTTCCTTTTCAACTGACCAATCAAATTCATGTAAAACGATATCTCCTAAGGAGATATCGCAGTAGATTATGAAATATATCACACAAGCGATATCTACTGTAGAATGTATTATTGGGTGATAAAGTTTGTTAGAAACGATGTTTGATTTTATGTTTCGTTATATACAGACATGTGGTTTTGTATCTCTAATCACGTTTGTCAGCACGCGAGTTCGTAAACAATGAGGTTACGTGGGAGCGAGGACGCCCATTGACAGAATACAAGTGACACAGAATTGAGTATTGTCCAAGTTCTGCCAATCCTGAAAACAAATGTAGTGTTACAGAACAGTATGTTTTGAAAAATCAGATTTCTGTTAAAACATATTGTAAAAAGAACAGTTTATATGTTTGTATTATTTTACCCAAGTCTCCAATTTAAAATAAACTTTTGTAATTATAAATTTGTAGAATGTATGAATTACCGGAACATAAAGTAATCCTTGATGATATAGACTCAAGTTATGGTAAATGTATCTTACATATTTATATTAATTCAATATACATGGGCTGGGCTACTTCCTGAGTTACTGTCCCTCAACTGACATACCATTAAACAATATTTCATTCATTCATTCCTTTAGATGAATGTGGCCCTGTATATTGGTGTTTGGGTGATGGTGTTGGAAGGCTGAGGGTCTAATGCATGTGCTTTCGATCATAAGGTCTGTCATTGACTCAACTGGCATGGTGGGTTCGATCCCACATTTGTACAGGACAAGGTCTATGGCCGCATGCCTAACCTTGTGAGTTTTCTCCAGGTCCTCCCAGTTCATGCCACTGTTAAGGACCCCTTTGCAAAAGCAATTTATTGAAATTGTACCATATGTTAATCCCGAAATGACGTGTTGAATGGATGTTCAAATTGTATTGTATGTTAGTCTCGGAATGACCTTTTTTGTGTTAAGTGGACATAAAACTTCATTTCTCTCTCTCTCTGATTTGTTGTTATTGCTTTTCTCTCTATGTATAATTTTCCCCTACGCATTTGTTACAGGACTTTCTTGAATATAAATTATTTATTATTCGTCCATTAAGTGTGTATTAAAGTTTAAAGATACATAAGTTAAGAGTTTTATAAAGAGTTGGTCATTCAAAATTCAAAAATAGATAATGTAAAATGAAAATATTGAAAATTTCATTCAAATTACTTCATTCTCAGCCAAGTTATCATTGTTTGTAGTTTTGACAAGATGTGTGCACAGTGGTAACCAGTGCACTGGTATAATCGGGACTTAGCCTTGCTTTCCCATTTTTAAATTAAATTTTTAAATGGCAAACCGTTTTAATCTAGTTAAAATCTTGAGTATCCGATGCCATCGAGAGTTGATTATGGTCTTATCCTGTTAATTAATGTCTAATTAATAGTTTATATAACATTTCAGGCCCAAAGAAAGACCTGCAATAGGAAGATTTACCTCTTGCATAATGTATGTTTAATAAAGTAGTGGTGTAATTTATAATTTCAGGTTTACATCATTATACATGTACTGTAGAAATACGTAATATGAGGCAATCAATATGGAGTCAACAGTTTCAGAGTATCGAATGTAAAAAGGAAAATATTGGTCAGTATTTTCTGTTGGTTGTCTGTTATAAATAAAGTTGTGCAGAAACAAGTCCCTGTAGATGATTCGTTGCTTAGAGGGAATGATAATAGAGGGGGGGGGGGTAATTTCTTGTCAACATATTACTTTGGTCATTTTGAGACAAAAATATGGTCATTGTTATTTCTATGGCTATGTTTTCAAAGCAAGTTCAGAAGAAGAATTTGTCTTGAGTGGATTTCATGCCTATGTGTACATGGGCAGACCTCTTTTTTGTTCCATCCGAATAACTATGCACATGTTCCATATCATCCTCGCAGGGTCCACCTCTGACAAATGAAGACCAGGCTTGAAAAATCCAAAAGTTCTTATATGTGTATGCCAGGATTCAAACCCCGAACATTGTATTCAACCGTCCAGTGCACTGACCGCTCAAATAAAACAGCCCACATATAGTATCTGATTAATATGACAGCTAAATTATTTAAAGATAAATAAATATTATTATTATTATTACAGAATTTTTATAGTGAACCCTTTCACACCATGTGTACAGGGGCACTTTGCAAAGTGACAATATAACCATAAGAACAAAATTATTGACATGTTAAAAATTGTATATACAGAGTCAATTAAAAGCTATATTTTATATTTATATATTGTAGAGAATAATGTATGTAAGTTTGTTTTAATGAGAAGAGATAGGGTTATAGATAGAGTTACTGTTGCTAAGGAAATAGAGTTACCATGGAAAACAGATCTATTTAAAGGTGTTGTCAAGGTGATTAAGATTGTAATTTAATAATCAATTTTGATGACTTTTTATAAACAAAACTTATAATTTAACTAAAAGTGTTATTTAGTCTGAAAACAATCCAATTACGGGGCAGAGGAGATTAGTTTTATTTGTAACCATGGTTTCTACCGTATAGAAGATATATGGTACGGTGGCTAATTAATGAGGGACAAGAAAAATAATATCATTTATTTTTTTTAATATTCACCCAAGTCAGTTTTAATAAAATTTGTTTTTTATAATTTTCACCTAAGTCAAGTTTAATTTCCACCCAAGTCATTTGTAATATATAACAAATGACTTGGGTGGAAATTAAACAAATGACTTGGGTGGAAATTAAACTTGACTTGGGTGAAAATTATAAAAAACAAATTTTATTAAAACTGACTTGGGTGAATATTACAAAATTAAAAATGCCATTATTTTTCATGTCCCTTATCAGCCACCATAATTTGGCTACACGATGTTGTTTTGTTTTTGCTTACGCAATCATTAGTCATATAAACCAAATTATTAAATTGTTTTATTTGTAGGATGTCTGCTGGCTGGATATTACGTTACTGGATGAAAGAGGTGAAGTGTTCTGGACAACCAGGTATTTTCAATATCTAATATTCCTAATATTTCTATATTTTTAAGCATATTTTTTTTTAATATTGGAAAATCAAAACGACTTATCCCTGAATTGGAATATGGAAGTATATACCATGGAAAACTAAGAATACTTAATAAGCTGTGTAGGGGTAAATGAGAAAGCTTAGAAATAAGGTACCTGTCACAGACATTTTCAGGTACAAATTAAGGTTTTTTGCAGGTAAAGTTCCTCTGGTGTCTGTCATTTCTTGTTCCTCTGTTTTATTGATACATGGTCGACAGAAGTAAAGAATGGCAGGTATCAGTTCATTAGTGCCTGACATTGTCAACTGTGGGAGGGGGGGTTTGGATGAGAGGGTATATTAAACCTTTTTCTTATATAATTCTTGTGATATACATTTATATTTCTTATTCTAGTTGTCCAGTTTATGCAAGAACTAAAGAGACAGTTAGAAGTAAGACCTTTTATAAAACACATTTATCATTAATAATTTTCATAGAGCCCATTGATTATAAACTGTTATTGTGCTACAGTATTGAGACCTGTTTCAAACATTGAAGAGGATTTGGAAAAACCTAGTAAATCAAACTTTCGCTAAAATTTTTGTGACCCATATTTGAACTTACTACATATTATAGGTTTTTCTCCTTCACCGAAAAGGCTTTTAATTATTTTCATCTAATAAAAAATAAAATTCTGTTTTATACTCAGTAGCTTAATCCTGAAAGAAAACAGTTTTCCTTTGTTTTCTCAAATTTACATTCAACAGACTTACTAGGTTTTTCCAGATAACAGGAGAAGGGTATCAGACATCAACTTAGTTTGATTTTCTTTGGCTTCCTTCATGCAATTTAATCAAGCAAAGATGTTTCAAAATGATCTGACTGTAATGAGTGTATATTAAACCCCTTTTCTCTGTCTACAAGGAATGATACAATACAATGTATGTTATATATTATTTAAGGTATTGCTATGGATTTTGAATATGATAATGAATCTAAACTAGAAATAGTTCATCAAGAAGAGAATGTTGATGTTTTAATAGAATTAAATGAAGTAAGTTTATCAATTGTTTACCTTTTATTAAAGTAGCTAAGTCTCTAACTCAATAGCATCCAAAGTCTTCGACATTGAAAACACGAACTATATGTTAATTCAAATCAACATTGATATTGTGATCTTACCGAAAATAGATGGGCTTCAAATATCCAATACATGTATTTAAAACAAAATAAACATTTTACCATTGGTACACAAATCGCGTACCATAATGCTTTTCAGCACTAATTGTAACAAGGGACTCAAAGAAAGAGGCTAGACATATTCCACAAGTCATGTCAAATGGTGACTGCATATTCTTATCTGGAGAGCATGCACAAAAAATACTATCGGTGTAGAGTGGTATAACCAGATGCTAGAGATTGCTATTCCATTGAGACTGCTGGCGTATTTCGCCGAACACAACTGATTTGAAATTAGAGTAAAAACGGAAACGATTGAATGTAAATCAGTTTATATACATTCATATTACATTATTATATGCATTGCAACCCATTTGTGTCAATTTGTAGGTCCCAAATATTAGCGATTTAGCTCCTTTAAACATAGGTAATTACCAGGCATTAAGACATGCATCCATAAACAGCATTGTCATCCATGCCTCACTGGAACAAAAAGTGAATGGCAGACATGGATGGATGACAATATACGAACATATGAAAAATTGGTTGTATGTAAATGGTTATGACTCTTGAAGACTCACATATTTTAATAGAACCTTTATTCTTAAATTAACACTGTTAGAGTCATGCTATATGGTGATTCAGTGTTTCATGTATCACCTGGCTTGGTTTCTACTGTGATTGAGATTAAAATAATAATTTTTGTTGTACCAGGAACTAATGAACAGGCACCTTATACTGTTTGAACTTTGTACTAGGAACTAATGAACAGGCACCTTACTGTTTGAACCAATGAACATGCACTTTACGGTTTGACTTTTGTACCAGGAATTAATGAACAGGCACCTTACGGTTTGAACTTAGTGCTGGACATGTTTTATGAATATCATTAAAACACTGCAAAAAGAAAAATCGATGCGGGACAGAATGGCAAGAACCAGAAATATTGTGTGTGACAATGTCTTTGATAGGTGACTTGTTTCCAGACTTTGCTTTAATGTAACGTTAAATCTGCGATGTAGACTGTTTCACATTTCTATTTTACATGAATGTTTCTCTTTTGTACTTTATTTACAGATGGATGATGGTAAAAGATTTATAACACATCTTGAAATAAACGTTGACACACAGATGATTGACAGCTGGTTCGGTACATCGTATACACCACCAATACCTAAAGATAAACTTAAAAATAAACTTAAAAATAAATAATATTGTATGATTTAGAGATACAGATTGTCCATGCAACCTGTGATATAAACATACACAGTAATCACAACCTCTGTGATATAGACATAAACAATAAGCACAAACCTCTGTGATAGACATAAACAATAAGCACAACCTCTGAGATATAACACGCACAACCTTAAAAATTTATATATTGCTTAAAACTTGGCTATTGAGGTGGGTATAGGCAATGCAGTTTGCTATCAAGGAAATTATACCTAGACAGCAACACTTCCTGCCTTTTTACTTTATGTGCATGCCAATTCGTACAAGACTGGACGCATTTCCTCTGACATGCAGAATCCAGACTGGAAGTTCCTGAGGAACTTTCTCAGCCAAAGCTAGGAAGGAATCTGGGACCTCCAGGTTAATGGGCCTGATACATACCCACTTAGGCACTGTGACTCCCAGATTTTATACATTAAAGGTGTTTTCTATGTAGATCAATTGTTAGCTATTTTAACTTCTCACATATCAGGTGTTCTAGATGCTAACTATGGCTGACATATTGGAGTTTATATTGTTGGAGTTCAGAAGCCAATGCAAAGTGGTAGTTGGACAATAGTGTGTAACAGAGAGTATCTTATGGATCTGTGTTTGTGACAACTGTAATAAGATTAGATTGGGCAAGACTTGTCTTTTACCTGTAAGCAGCAAAATATCTGTGATTTTCTGTTTTTGTGAATTATTTCATTGTAAACAGCAATTTCCCCGCAGGTTCTGATATAGTAAGCTATACATCACGACACGCACAGAGTTTCATCGTATCCCGGGATTTTATGATTTAGCACAAAATAAGCTATTTTTCCGGTGTGCAAAATGACCTATGGGTCTGATCCAGTTATGGTCATTTTCCAAAGCCCTCGGTCCCGACTGGCATATACAGCCGACATGGAACCCATGGTCCACACCATTTTATGAACTACCGATAATTGAAAACATTCAATTTGTTATACATTCCATCCATATCTATATACACCACACACCACGGTTACATTGTTATTATATTATATAATATTTGTATTGATATCTTGTATGTCTACATATAATAAGTTTGTTATACATTCCGTCCATATATAATAAATTTGTTATACATTCCGTCTGTCCATATCTATATACACTACGATTACATTGTTATTTTATAATATAATATTTGTAATGATATCTTGTACGTCTACATATAATAAATTAAATGTTATTGTTGAATTTTTGTTGTATTGTCTTCTGAATTGAATTACAAAATTATACCATGTGTTTTAAATCTAGCATAAAGTGTAAAAAACATGGAGATATACTTAAGTGGGCTAATGAAGATAGGCATATACTGAGCTGGTTTGACAAAATTGGACTGATCAGGGTATGGGATGAAAACCCACATGCCGATCGATGTGTTTATGTGATAATCTGCTCCAAAATACAACGAAATCACACATTAAGTTCCTATCAACACAAATCACAAACAAGAGTTATCTCCCTTAACGCGAAAACTCTGATTTTTGGCACAAAACAGACGCGTCTTCACTAAATTGTTATTGTGCGTTTCCAAAAGTCAGCATTTTCGAGTTATTGGATAATTGGACGCGCCCATGCAGTGTGCCACTTTCACCTTTTCATAAAATTCCAACAGTCAATGTCTGTTTTATGTGAATGCCAATCAATGTGTACACAGGAGCTTGGTTTTCAGGTCCATCTCAATTGAATGCTTTTACTTGCCAGGTCCTCCATCATGCCCCACTGACAGAGCAATTGTCAAGTACCATATCATGATTCTAAGTCTATACTCCATTTATCATCAGTCTCCAGCCATATGAGTGTTTATCTCAAATGTAGCAAAATTAGCTACTCCACTGAGCCATCCAATGATTTAGAGAGTTGATTATGTGAATAAATATCTAAATAATAATGTATAAAACATTTGGAGCGGTGAAACATGCCCGACAATAAACAAAATTTAGATCATGTATATAGTGCCTCCTAAAGTGACTAGAACTTTAGGTCACTACTGACCACAAAATATGGTGCATGGGCCGAAATATATCAGTCCAATTTAAGTGGAGTAAAATATAAAAACTAGACTGCATAGAATCCTTACATTTATTATTTACTAGTGGATGACCCCGCGCTGCATGGGTTGAAAGTAGTATAACTCTGAAACCAGAAGCGGTAGGCAACGCCACTAGGCCTATGTTACTCCCTGGTCCGAGCTACCCCATTACACCAAATTTCAGCAACGGGACAACCCTGAACAGACAAATGACCGTCACAAATATTAGTATAGATATAGTTCATCCCGTTTGAACTCTGTTTTTATATTCTGACATATACTGCTGTAAGTACTGTACTTTTTACTCACTGGTGGGAATTACCGTCAAAATTTGGTTGAAATGATGCCATTGGTCTCTTTTGTATGGAAAATAGTCTATATTTACTGGTTGAATCGGCAGGCAATGCCATTAAGTGACTCATTTGATTTAGCAATCATTATAGAAAATCCATCCAAAGATTTATATTCCCTCCGAAGAAAAGACAAAAACCTTTTACAGTACAGTACCAAGGCATTACTTGTAATTCCACAAAGTCGAAACCAGTCTAATAACAAAGGTGGGTAAATGAACAAATCACATTTTTTTTTTTATTTCAACAAAATATTTAACACTTATCTACATATCTTTGAATTATTCATGGAATAATCTACATGTATTTACAATGTCATAGATGTGAAGAAATATGTTAAGAAAAGAATTTTAAATTACATTTAGTAGGAATTAGACTAAAGTACATGTATTTTTAAAACAAATTGGACTCAATTTTTTGAAAAGAGAGTTGTCCTTGAAAGAATTTTGAAACTTGCCTTTCAATTAAAAGACGTCAGAGCCATAATTTAGACAAAAAACCCAGAGTTTTGAATTATACTTTTTTTAGTAGCTGACTAAAATACATGTATTTTTTTTATAGATCGTCTGTCTTTATTAGCCCAGTCAGAGAAGAACAGTAGGACATTAAACCACATTTCATTTCATACTTCGTTTGTTGTTGAAATGTCCCTGCCAGATTGTTGAATCATGCCATACTAATTAAAGACATCAGACTTACAATCATAATACATAATTTAGTTAAGAAAGGTTAGGAGTAATCTATTCTATATACCAGCAGTACGTCTGAATAAAATAATAGCTTCAAAATACATTTTTATTAAACAACAGGGGCCTGTTTCACGAAATTTTAACTTAGATAAAATTCAAATTTTAGTAATTTGATTGGACAATATTAGATTGATTTTAGTGCTTAGCCAATCAAAATTGAAGTATCTATTAAAGTTTGGATTTTATCTTTAGTTAAGATTTCGAGAAACAGGGCCCAGGCCATCAAAACCATCTTTTTATTTAAGTACACATTCTAAATATTGTTATCTTAATTGTAAAAGAAAGTAGTCTACTGGACCTGCCAGTTAATTAACAAGAAAAATATGAAGAAATAAGTTATCGATATATATGTATTCTCATTTTAAATAGATTATGGAAGTCAGTAACTTTATTATTATACTTTGTTTTATTGTTTCAAATCCTTGTGTGAACCAAGTATTTTGTCTCAGTAGTTAAAGTTGATGATCCCGATTGTGCTTGTTAATATCAATATGACGAATATTGGAAAATTTTCAATTCATCATAACTTTGCTTTATTGTTTGAAATCCTTGTTTGAACCAACATGAGTATTTTTTTCTCAGTAGTTAAAGTTGATGATCCTAATTGTGCTTGTTAATATCAATATGACGATTATTGGAAAATTTTCAATTCATCATAACTTTGCTTTATTGTTTGAACCAAGCTAAGTATCTTTTCTCAGTAGTTAAAGTTGATGATCCTAATTGTGCTTGTTAATATCAACATGATGAATATTGGAATATTTTCAATTTATCATAACTTTGTAAATACGGAATGGAATTGAACCATTTTTCTACTGATATTTCTTCTAGAGATTCAACTTATTATAGTTTGCGCGGGATCCAAAATCCTTCAAATAACAATCAGCTGCTTTAAATAAAATGACTATATAAGGCCATATAAAAAATATATTCTGGTTCTCAATCCTGTATCACTTGAAAAAGGTTGCAAGACATGTTTTTATTTTAAAAAATAAAAATGGTCTAGGTAAAGATGCATTATGTAAGATTTAGATAAAGAGATGACCGTTTTTGCTATAATATTTCAAAAATAGATAATGATAATGCAAAATGAATATATTGAAAATTTCATTCAATTACTTTATTTTGAGCGAAGTTATCAATGCTTGTAGTTTTGACAAGATGTGTGCATTGATTGTAACCTCCGTACTGGTCATTCAAGTCTTAGCCTTGCTTTTCCATTTTTAAATTAAATCAATAAATGGCCGAACCGTTCTAATATACATAAAATCGGGGCCATCCGATGACAATAAGAGTTGATTATGGTCTGGATAAGTTAATTAACGTCTAATCAATAATTTATATAACATTTAACACCCAAAGTAAGACCTGTAATAGGCATTTTTAGCTCTTACATAATGCCTGTTTAATATTTTCCTTGGTCACAGGAGGTTACTCTATAGAAAATTTGAAAGGATCCAGAAATGTGCCATAGGCTTATTTATCAATTGTGCAACCGTGATAAATGTTACTGGATCATTATCCCTATAAAAAACATGATGAGCTAGCCTTGAAATGCAATGTTTAAAAGAAGTGATTTAGCCCAGTAGTGATTCTTTGACAAATAAAAACACAACAGTAAAAACCTCCCTCCCACATCAGATTTTTTGGATGGAGTAAGAACCAGAATATTTTTTATGTATGGCCTAATGTAGGAAGACATGGATAAAAGGTAAAATATTTGGTTAATACAATAATCAAATTAATTAGACAATTAAATGTACAGTGATGAAACCAGTGTGTTTATAAGAAATGTGAATAGATTAATGGAAATCTCTCATTGTTAATAAAATTTCATTTGTTTACATATCTTAACATTGTACCAGCCAAACACCATCTTTAAAGATTAATGGAAATCTCTCATGGCTAATAAAATTTCATTTGTTTACATATTTTAACATTCTACCAGCCAAACACCATCTTTAAAGATTAAGATAAAGATTATAGTATTATAGTAGATCATACAAGCCAATCAAACCACCTTAACCCCACTTCATTAATTATTCATGAAAGTGAATGAAATAATGGCCACAAAAAAATGAATGAATGAATGTCTTATTTCATGCATTTACTATTGAAGAAATTAGGAGTACATTTAGGATAAATTCGATAATTTAGATTCTAGAGAAATCAAATTAAAATATGATATAAAATAGTGTATTATAATGAATGGACTAGATACTATTACATATTACACATAAGTTTAAAATTACATTCTGTATTTATCTAAACTTTCAATTTCTTGCAACAATCAACTATTAATATCATCCTATTTCATAAAAAATTGTTGGCATTACAAAACACTGTTTCAAAACTTAAATGTTAGAACTCACAAAAATATTAAAATTTCCAAATTCACCTAGTTTTTCTAGGCTATTTGGAGTGAGTTTTTAGTATTCAGTTTCAATTAAAACTAAAGGGATTTGGTCTGTTTTTTGTCTGCTGTGATATATTTACGAATATTAATTGAAGGAAATCATCCAATATCCCAAAATAAACAGATAACATAAATATATATTGAATTCTAGAAATCTGAAGATACAGCAAAAATGGCCTAAAAATTGATCATTTCAATTAGTATTCGAATAATAAAATCAGCATACGATGTGAGCACTATTAAATTTTGTCAGAAAATATATTTTATAGTTTTTATCCTTTGAGGATGTTAATAAATTAAACTAAACATGTGCTTATTATATGTTGATATGTGATATACTTGTATATACCTAAAACCATGAATAGGGCTAGATCTATTTGTTAAGGCCAACTCAAGATTTTGTCAAGGTCGCTGAGAGGTAAATAAGGTTAGGGCACGTGATTGTTGTGTAGATTGTAGGTTAGCGTTAGGGCTAGGTGCAGGTTAGGGTTGAGATTAGCTCTAGCCCTATTTACATCTTGTGACCTTTGACCAAAGTTGAAATTGGCCTTATGAAATAGATCTAACCCACATGAAGGGACTATCATAGTTACATGTATGTAGTAAGATAGTGTCAAATAAAATCCCAACCTGATTAAAACACAGATCCTATTTCGTTTCGTTTTTTATAGTTCAAAATTTCGTTTTACTTGTCTTTACTACACTAGGATCTGGAAGAGTTGTTATCATTGACGTATTCTGAATGGTGTGAGGAATTATCCAATGAAACGGTCTGTTACGGCGTCGGGGAGCTTTAGGCGTGTATTGCACAGAACTGTGGGTAATCCACTAGTAACATCAATGCTGGCTGATTGATTAATCATATTTCTTACGTCATAGGTCCAAATGTCGCTCGTATGACCTCTGACGTGACCTATCGCTACAGCTTGTCAGAGTTTCATGTAGTGTAGGCCATCGAAAATATAAAAAAATAAAACGAAATATAGATCTGTATTTTAATCAGATTGATAAAATCCCAACCTGGTGCCCTCCTGGTCATTAAGAGATTTTACCCAGCCCTAAACTACAGCTTCAATTAGCAGATAAAAACATCTGTTTAGAATTTGAGGATACTTGGATTTATTCTCATTTGACACTTTTCAACCAAACAGAATTCAAGAAATTGCATTTTGGGTAACAATCTTTTTTTTTATATAAGAGATTTTATTTTGACAATCAGGATGGTGTCCGTCTCCAAGAGATATTTCAGGATAGTATCCATCCCCAAGAGACATTGTCACATTAACTAAAGAAATTAAAAGTAATTAAGTTTTAGTGTTGGGTATTGCCACTGCAGTCACAATACGATATGTAATGTGACTCAGGTGCCTCAATACGATTCGTATCACGATTCATAACCAGGTCAATAATTACCATGAAAACAACAGGATAAATGAATGATTGATATTTTTGGTCCTGCGATGTAGAAGAAATAAATAGACTGTTTTATATCACACTATTGATGTGGGTCAATATAAGGAACAAAACAATTTAAGTGTGTTTGTGTACCTATGGATACAAGGAAAGCTGTCTAGTCGTTCGGATGGGACGAAAAACCGAGGTCCTGTGTACACATTGGCGTGCACGTAAAAGATCCCTTGGCAGTTGGAATTCGATATAAGAGTAGGCCGTAGTGCCGCTGCCCGGGCAAAATTTCCCTCATAGCACACTGTATGGCGTATGCCCGTCTTCATTAGCCCTGGTTAGGAGCAGAACAGTAGGACGTTAAACCCCATTTCATTTCATTTCGTACCTATGGATAATGTGTGACATGTATAATTAAGACTGACAGGTAACTGAAGTGACAAAAAAAAAAGAAACGTGATACATTGATTCAGCATCTCACGATTCGATAACCAAACCGTGAGAAGGTGAATCACAACACATTTTTTGTTTTGAAAAATTAAACAAAAGTCGGCTTGTTAACTAAATTTAGTTTCATATTTGGCTTACTGTATTGACATAATCAGTTATATCTCCTCCCACAATGGCTTCTTCTATATGAACCTGATATTTTCAATAAACATATCTCAACAAAAGTTGCCAAATAAAATCTCATTATATTAACACTTTTATTTCTGGCCCAAGTCAAATAGGTCTAACAATGGTCATTTTTAACTTGATAATGTCATTTGTAACATATATATCACCCAACACCAAAACTACTGGCCAACAATCCTTCCTGACTAAAACCAACTCCACTCAATCCATCCCCAATCTGTCGTAGAATAACACAGAGCAGCAGTAACAACGGCAGCTACAGCAGTCGTCAACAAATAATGACGTCGACCATAATTAGGCATATGTGTCGACACCCATCTAATATTGTTCCTCCAACTCCACCGGTGTAGTTTCGCTACTCCATTGGCACGTTGTCTTTTGGCTCTGTTGTCATTTTCTTGACTAAAATAAAATAAAATGGAGGATGTGTTTCAGCATATTAAGGTATTCACATAAAAATGAGTAGATCATGGACGTGCTCAGTTGTGAATTTAGATCATAAGGTCTGTCATTGAGTCAAGTGGTGTGGTTTCAATCTTAAGCCAGAACATGACAAGGAGTGGGGTAGCCTGCCCAACCTTGTGAGTTATCTTAAGGTCCTACTGTTTCCTCCCTTAGCTAAGACCCCTATAATGTACATGCAAGCTGTCGGCGATATCACTTCATTGGAAGCGGACGTTAAATAAAGCTATTTCACACAAAATCCGATTAAAACACAGATCCTATATCTTTTCGTTTTTTATAGTTCAAAATCTTGTTTTACTAGTCTTTACTACACTAGGGTCTGGAAGAATTGTTATATATCCCGTGTTCTGGTTGATGTGAGGGATTAGTCAATGAAATAGTCTGTTAGGGTGAGTTCTTAGAATGTGGTGCATGGTACTCACTGTGGGTTTCCCACTAAAAACATCAACGCTGACTGGCTAATCAAATATCTCAAGTCATAGGACAAAAGCTGCTCTTATGACCCCTGACATGACCTTCCACTACAACTGGTCAGATCTTCATGTAGTGGAGGCCATTGCAAGTATAAAAAACGAAATGAAATATAGATCTGTATTTTAATCAGATTTTTTCACACACACATGTAAAATTGAATTATTGAAATAAAATTGCACAGTGTTAGTCCCAAAATGACCTAGTTTATGTCAAGTGGACGTTAATCCCCATTTTTTTATCCCTCTCTTCTAACAAAAATACCAAAGTGTACCTTCTAAATTCAGCCTCTGAAGCGAGATCTTCAGGTGGAAACTGTAAATATAGGTCACCAGCTTTGCTAATTAACTGTTCAAAAGGTAGATTATCTGGTATACGTGATAATAAACTATGAATAAAACACATCTCACATTCTGTTTCTAAAATCTCATCTTGTCTATATAACACAATCTAAAATATAAATAATAGGAGGCTAAAAATATAAAATCTCATCTTGTCTATATAACACAATCTAAAATATAAATAATAGGAGGCTAAAAATATAAAATCTCATCTTGTCTATATAACACAATCTAAAATATAAATAATAGGAGGCTAAAATATCATCTTGTCTATATACATGTAACACAATCTGAACAAGCCAACAGTGAGGCTGATGTCCCCCGCCGAAATTGCAAAATAAATAGATGACACATATTAATTAATCGCACATTTATTTTTTTCACTAAGTTTCATCACTCTCTATCAGATAGAATCAAGATTATCTTGTCCCAAACCATCGACAAATGAAATCGATTAGCTCTGCTTAGCTTCAGCTCGAAATGTTAATTATTGAACTCAGTCAAGACATTCACCTAATGAACATCTACATATACATCAAGTTTAAACATTCACCTAATAGACACCTATGCCAAGTTTGAACATTCTACCTCAATTAGAAGGAGAGTTATTGTGTTCCAAAGTTTCTACCAATCAAATTGCTTATCACTCTGCTTACCCTCAGCAAAAAATGTTCATTATCGAACTTAGTTAAGGTATTCATATAATAAATCTATACACCAAGTTTCATCAATCTCACTTAATTAGAACTAAAGTTATCGTGTCCCAAAGCATCAACCAATCAAATTGCTTATCTCTGCTTACCCTAGGCGGAAAATGCTCATCTTCGAACTCCATCAAGGCATTGACCTAATCAACACATACACCAAGTTTGAACATTCTAGCTCAATTAGGAAGAGAGTTATCGTGCCCCAAAGTATCAACCAATCAAATTGCTTATCTCTGCTTACCCTAAGCGGAAAATGCTCATCTTCGAACTCCATCAAGGCATTGACCTAATAAACACATACACCAAGTTTGAACATTCTAGCTCAATTAAAAGTTATCGTGTCCCAAAGCATCAACCAATCAAATTGCTTATCTCTGCTTACCCTAAGCGGAAAATGCTCATCTTCGAACTCCATCAAGGCATTGACCTAATCAACACATACACCAAGTTTGAACATTCTAGCCCAATTAGGAAGAGAGTTATCGTGTCCCAAAGCATCAACCAATCAAATTGCTTATCTCTGCTTACCCTAAGCGGAAAATGCTCATCTTCGAACTCCATCAAGGCATTGACCTAATAAACACATACACCAAGTTTGAACATTCTAGCTCAATTAGGAAGAGAGTTATTGTGTCCCAAAAAGTGTGACGGACAGACGGACGGACGGACGGACGGACGGACGGACGAGCGGACCGACGGACGGACGGACGGACGGACGGACGGACGGACGGACGGACGGACGGACAGACAGACAGACAGACAGACAGACAGACAGACAGACAGACAGACAGACAGACAGACAGACAGACAGACAGACAGACAGACAGACAGACAGACAGACAGACAGACAGACAGACAGACAGACCCATTTTAATAGTCCCCTGCTTTCTTCGAAAGGCGGGGGACAAATATAAATAGTAGTAGGCTATTGTTCATTAAACTTTTGCACTTAGTACATCTAAATTTTGACTACCCTGGATATACCAAAACAGCTGTTCATTCGACTGCCTCAAACTGCTGAAGATATGTGAAAAGCTTTAGGACCAATTACTAGCTTGTGCATGTGCGACAACTGTGCACTTTACGGGTTGGTGGTCTAAGGAGTCCTAGTTAGGGCAGCCTTACTGCTAAAGGGTTAAAGTATCTGATCATCATTCAGGAATGTTTAACCCCATCTAAACTACAATACTGTTGAATCTTTACAAAGATTTATCAGTCCATAAATGGTTCAATTCTGTTCAGTATTTCCAAATTATGATGAATTGAAAATTATATATAGTGTGGTCTAATAAATATTATCTATCTTAAATCCAATTTTTAATTTATACATTGTATGGTCTAATATATTTCAAAATAATGGTACAATATGAAAGTGTGGTCTAATATTATACAAAGTGTGGTTTAATATTACCTATATAGAAGGGGATCACGTGGCTAAGTGGGTAAGACGCTGGCTCGCTAGCCTGGAGGTCGGGTGTTCGATCCCTGCATTTGCCGAGAAAGTTCATCCAGATTTTCCGACGTGGTTTCCCCTTGTCAGTGATGCAGGATCGAGGGCCTGACAAGGACAGCTGTCTAGTCGTTCGGATGGGACGAAAAACCGAGGTCCCGCGTACCGTACACATTGGCCTGCACATAAAAGATCCCTTGGCAGTTGGAATTCGATATAAGAGTAGGCTGTAGCGCCGCTGCCCGGGCAAAATTTCCCTCATAGCACACTGTATGGCGTATGCCCGTCTTCATTAGCCCAGGTTAGGAGCAGAACAGTAGGACGTTAAACCCCATTTCATTTCATTTCACCTATATACAAAATGTGGTCTACTATTATCTATATACAAATTGAGGTCCAGTATTATCTATATAATATTGTGGTCTAATATTATACAAAGTGTGGTTTAATATTATCTATATACAAATTGTGGTCTAATATTATCTATATACAAATTGTAGTCTAATATTGTCTATATACAAATTGTAGTCTAATATTATCTATACAAAGTGTGGTCTAATATTATCTATATATAAAGTGTCGTCTAATGTTATATATTTTAAATTGATGGTAATTTATACGTTGTGTGGTCTAATATGATTTATTTCAAAATTGATGGTAAATTACTTGTAGTTTGGTCTAATATTATATATTTTAAATTTATGATAATTTATACCTTATTTGGTCTAATATTGAATTAAATTTAAATTATCCAAATGTATTACAGTTTATGATACTCACAGCTGCGGCTAAATATATCGGCATCAGTTGATGGCAGGCAATAAAAAAGTCGTAAAGTCGAACAATATGTTTTATATCATTTAAAACATGTCCATACCATGTAATCAACCAACTGAGGCAGAATATTGTACCAGTTTCAGCTCTAAAAATAAAAATAATTTATAAAACATTTCTTTAATTTAGGAAGTTGTAATAAGCCTAAATTAGGAAATGTATATATTACAGTAGAATCTGTATGAGCAGCCACTGCTATTCAGCGACATCTCCTTGTAAGCGGCCACGATAAATTCCCCCCGTAAAAATTCTATTGTTTCATCTCTTTATTCAACGGTCACTCCTCTTATGCAGCCAGCGGTCACTATTTTACTAATAAATTCAACAAAACATCGCCCATTCAACGGCCATTGTTGAATGATATCATCTTGTTGTTCTTTGTAACACCCCCGCTAATCCCGTGAATAGTAGTTAATTAACTGGACCCCCACTGATCAGGTGAAAAGAAACGTAAAAATAACAATCAACCCGGGATTATCTGTTAATTAATCTTTTGTTTTATTAAACGACTAACCTGATCATTGTTTTCACGCGTAATGACACATTATTTGATACTGATTGAATAAAATAAAAGTACCAAGTTTTGTCACGATCATCTAGTATCTCTTTTCCATTGCTACTTTGTTGTTAAACAGACGTTTTAGCGCCTCCTATAATATTACATACAGTGTTACACCCCTGTAAATAGGTGATAAAATCAGTGATGGTTTTTTGTTCATGTGCTTTTTTGATAAAATAAAATTAATTCATCGATTTTCTTCACAAAAATGGATAAATATTATCAAATGCATCACAATGGTAGACAGTAGTATCGAAGGTTGGTACAAAATGACAAGTTTACAGAAGTTATGTCGGAGACTTGAGTAAAGAAATTTCATTTGGCGCAAGATTCAGTGACGGTCAAATTTACCGATGCAAGTATTGATATTCGCTTCAAATGCATCCAAGCTGAATATTTAATTTATGTCAGCACAAAAAGCACCAAGATTTTATTAAGAGGCCACTCCCGTTAAGCGGTCAGTCGTGAAAATTCCCATTGGTGGCTGCTTAATGCAGATTCTACTGTACTATTAAAGACTTACATAGCACATGCTTCACAACAGAGTGACATACATATTTATATATATAAACTGAATAAATTAATTTAAAGATAATATTTATTGGGGAATAAAATTATTAATACAAGATAAAAATGAATGGGTTTATAGACATAATTTAAAGGAGCTAACTCTCTGTTCTTTGGCACCTAGAAATGGACACAATGGGTCGCAACGCACATAGTTTGTAATATGAATGTATATAAACTGAATTACATTCAATTGTTTCTGTTTTTACTGTAATTTCTAGTCAGTTATGTTCCTCCAAATTGAATGGCAGTCTTTGCAATGGCACCTGGTTATTTCAGTCTACACCGGTAGTACTCTACCATGGGATATATTTAGCCTCGTTTATCGAGTCACTTCATTAAAAATGGTCGTTTGAAAGCATTCTGGCACGCGATTCGTATGCCAATTTTAAAATTTTCATTTTGTTTTAAATATTGGATATGATAAGCCCATCTATTCATGGTAAGATAACAACATCAAAGTTGGTTTTAACTGATCAACAAGTCGTGTTTGCAATGTCAAAGACTGTGGATGATATTGGGTTAAAGACTTGCCTCCTTTAAATAGAGAACTGAATTGATACAGTGTTTAACTTCCTACTTTTCTACACCAAACGGGCTACAGAAGACAGAATTTTTAAAGCAATTCTGTGTACCACTTTGATAAAAGTTGGAAGTTTATTCTATAAAAACAAGCCTTAATAGAAAAAGTTTAACAAAGTGATCTATAACTTTTATCAAATTGAACTTATTGACCTCCAGCTCCTTTTTAATAATATATATGAGAGAGAGAGAGAAATGGGGTTTAACGTCCACTCAACATAAACTAGGTCATTTCGGGACTAACATATGGTTTTTTAATTTTATTTCAATAATTCGCTTGCGCATAGGGGCTTTAGCAGTGGGAGGAAACCGGAGGACCCGGAGAAAACCCAGGAGGTTGGACAGGCGACCCTACTCCTTGTCACGTACAACCGGGGATTCGAAACACGCCAGTCGACTCAATGACAGACTTTATGATACAGCGCGCGCGCGCTAACCATTCAGCCATCCAACCCCCCTGATAATATATATGATATTGACCTTTCAACTTTGTATGTATTTCTCTTAAGTCACGACTGTCTGTGTTGTAATTAACACGTAATTAATTCAATATGTCCTTTACAAGCTACACATGATCTGTGTACAACACTCGGCAGGACTTCAAAGGGAATGCAGTGGTTAGTGCATCATACCATGACCTGGTAATGACTTCAAAGGAAATACACAGTGCAATTACAGATACCATAATCTGATAAATAAACAATACCATATATTATGATGACTCTTATCCATTTTCCCTATTTGTCGGATGCTACATAACCAGGATTTTACTGACAGTAAGTCAGAATTTGAATAGAGCTCCTCCCAAATTATGTCTATCATTATGCTGATCTTCTGTTATCTGTAGTGTTACAGAAGTGTGTTCACCGAATGAACACAGTTGTTGCCTCTGGTTGAAGAATCAGTAACCCATATGATAAAGACCTTAGTTGTTTAGATGGGCAGCTAAGTTGTAAAAGACCACATAAATAATACGGTGCCGAATCATTACGACTTTTGTAACATAACGATCAAATTTGAAAATCAATAAATTTTGAAACTTCCCATTCATTAATGCAAATGATAAGCAGATTCATATCATTTTCAAATGATATTTTTACGAGAGTAATAAATATTAAGACTTGATACCATGTATAAACGTTGTTTGTATTTTAAGCAATTAATAAACTAACCTCTCCATATATTCACATAGTTGGGGCCTAGCTTTATCAATAATAGACTTGATATCAGAAATAAACTAACCTCTCCATATATTCACATAGTTGGGGACTAGCTTTATCAATAATAGGATATAAATAGTTTAACATATGTTTGGTCCGGTCCATATCAACATCCATAAAATCCCTGAAATAAAATATGCAATAATCTGTAAAACACTAGTATGTATTTCAAAATCCTAAATGTCCCTAACTATATATAACACCAAAAAGTATGTTAAAGTAAATTTTTTATGCTGTACTGCATTAAAGAGAGAATTTCATATTTTCTAAGAAAGTCAAAACACAATTATTTCTATGTCTTTTGCTCAATAGGTTGTCAACTTACTATTATACGATCATAGGTATCATTCTCCTACTTATAAATCCTTGACCCCGGAAATTATAACACAATTACCTCCCTTGTTTTTCTATTCCCCCCCATGGAATAGCTATCTTCAAACGTTTGAATTTGAAGTTGAAAATATTAATTTTGCCAATTTCTCAACTGGTAATAGTGAATTATAGGATTAATAGGATTATTCTTTAACAAGGTAGGACTGTTTATCGATACCATCTATTTTAAGGCTTTATTTTAATACATTTTAAAAATATAACTTAAAAATATGAAATTGCAACTGTAACATTAGACATATTTTCTTTGTTAACAGTGTTCAGATCATTTGAACTTATTGACCAATCAAACTACCTGTATTGGTATTTGTTTTGTGCTGAACTATAGGAATTCTAAAACCCAATCAGAGTTTGGCAAAAATTAATCAAAATATTACATTAATTAAAAAGAAATTCTTGCACATACCGTAAATGTTTTTGGGACAGTTTTTCAACAATGGCAAAGGCAACATCCTCATCAACAACCAGTAGGAATGTTACACAAATATCATGAAAACCCTGATAATAATAATAATAATATAGTGCATTTTTAACGCGCTAAACTCCATACACTAAGTATATGCTCATAGTGCTACAAAAATTCTGATGACATTATGGTTTATGTGCTCTAACAATTTTATGTCTCATAGTATTCTTTAAACTGGTGTGTTTTTAATAAACTCTTGAATTGCAATAGTGTCAGTGCATCTTTAACTTCTGATGGTAGTTTATTCCAAAATGTTGCTGAGTTATACTGGAAAGATCGCTGTCCAAATAATCTTAATTTGACTTTTGGGACACAAGCTAAGTTTTAGTTAGCCGATCGTAGTGTTTGACTAGGATGATATCTTGAGACAAGTTCCGATAGATAACTTGGTGCGGTTTGGTGTAAACACTGATATGTGATTGATAGGATTTTAAATTTCACACGGGCCTCCACTGGGAGCCAGTGAAGTTCTCTAAGTACTGGATTTATATGTGCACACTTTCACTGGTTCACTGAATAATCCAACAAAATTTCATGGAAATACGGTGTTAGTTAAACCTGACAAAATGTTCACATATATTCAGACTTGGAAATCAGGATTTAATTGTAAACTTTGTGTCGGACACACATACATGTAAAAGACAAATAGAATTGTGCCAATCTGATTAAAACACAGATCCTATTTCGTTTCGATTTTTATAGTTCAAAATTTTGTTTTACTTGTCTTCACAACACTAGGATCTGGAAGAGATGTTATATAACTGGCGTTCTAGTTGATGTGAGGAATTAGCCAATGAAAAGGTCTGTTACAGCGAGTTCTTGGCTTGCTTTGCACGGAACTGTGGGTAAACCCCTAGAAACGTCAATGCTGACTGATTAATCAAATGTCTGACATCATAGGGCTAAAAGCCACTCATATGACCCCTGGCACAACCTCCAAGTACAAGTGATCAGATCTTCATGTAGTGTAGGCCATCGAAAGTATAAAAAAACGAAACGAAATATAGATCTGTATTTTAATCCGATTGGAATTGTGCCTGATATTGTGTGTGACAGGTGTCTTATTTCCAGACTTTTTTGGCTGTCTATTATAGGTCAAATATAGTTTTTCTGATTCTAGCTTCCACCAAGGTGGAAGACCATAGAAAAATCCAGAAAAATTCTGATTACATTGGTTCAGGTGAACAGTTTTCATATTATATTTTTTACCTGATAATAATGAAGTTCTGAATTATTGACTAAAACCCTCATAATAACATCGACAAGTATATCTTGTAGAGCAAATCTTTCATCATCATCCATACCTTTAAATAAAATAACAAAAATAAGAAATGAATTGAAATGGGGTTTAACATCCTACTGTTCTGCTCCGACTGGGCTAATGAAGACGGCATACGCCATACAGTGTGCCATGAGAAAAATTTTGCCTGGACAGCGGCGCTTAGGCCTACATTTATATCGAATTTCAACTACAATGGATCTTTTATGTGCATGCCAATGTATACACAGGACCTCGGTTTTTCGTCCCATTTGAACGACTAGACAGCTGTCTTTGTCAGGCCCTCCGTCCTGCTCCACTGACAAGGGGAAACTACGCTGGAAAATCATGATGAACTTTCGTGGCCAAGTCCGGGAATGAACCCACGACCTCCAGGCTACCGAGCCAGTGTCTTACCCACTAAACCACCGTGGCTCCAAACATTGCTAGATGTATTTGGTATTTAATATATATACATAACTATGTGTATCTATACTTTCACAGTGTGGCGTTTAATATATTGTAAACACTAGCACATGGTTATTATTTTTCTATTGTTACATGTACATGCATGTATGTGTGCAATTCAAGGCATTTCTGCCTACTCCTAAAATTCCAACTGTCAAGAGTTTTTTTTTTATCTGCACCCCAATTTAATCTGGAGTGGACCTTCAATTTTTATTTTCCGTCCTATTAGAATGACAAGGCACACTTTACTTTTCAACCCTGCAGGTGTTACACCTGAAAAGCAAAAACTGGGCTTGAAAAATTCCAAGGTTCTTCTCGGCCCACAACAGAATTTGAACCCCCATGTCCATTATATACTGTATACATGTATGATCCGACGGGACATACATCACCAGTGACATTAACATTTATTCCCCTGCTTTTTGTATATAACCAACACCAGGCAGTGGGAAAGGCTGAGGACATCAATCTGGTCATGACATGATGATTAAACAACACTAACAGGCACTGTGGAACAGTCTGATTAAAACTAGTGTTTCTAGTGTCTGATAAGTTATTGACCTGTAGTGGGTTAAAAATGATAGTTACCAGGTGGAAATCTTTTCAATGATCTGTTAACATCCATAACGACCTGCTCATAATCTCTATGTCCATGTAACACATCCTCAGCTAAAATGAATAAATAGTCTTTTTCAACAAACATGTCATGATACACACACTAGTATCTTAAATAATGTAGCTGTTAGATTGTTCCAATGTCTGATTGGCCGAAGTTGGCTCCTTCTGTAAATCTATTTACAAATTCTTAGTATTCATTTTTCTTTTAAAATTTTACAATTGACAGGCCTATAAAACCTTTAAAATTCTGAGGTTATTAGTTTTGGCCAATCTGTGTACTATAGAAAGTGTATTGGAAGAGAATTATCTTCGAGTCATCACGTTAGATTGCTCCAATGTCTGCTTGGCCGAACTGGCTCCTTCTGTTGGAAGAGAATTATCTTGAGTAAAAGAATGCATAGCCAAGCATTTCTATACTCCTTCACTTAAAGGAGCTAAACTGCTAAGATTTTGGATCTAGAAATTGACACAAATGGGCCACAACGCATATAATAATGTAATGTGAATGTATATAAACTGATTTACATTCAGTCATTTCTGTTTTACTGTAATTTCTAATCAGTTATGTTTGGCGAAATATGCCAGAAGTTTCAATCGAATGGCAATCTCTAGCATCTGGTTATTCCACTCTATACTGATAGTATTTATTGTGCATGCTCTCCAGATAAGAATATGGCGTCATCGTTTGACATGACTTGTAGAATATATCGAGCCTCGTTCTTCCCTGGTTACAAATGGCGCGGAAACGCATTATGGTACACAATTTGTGTACCAATGGTAAAATGTTTATTTTGTCTTAATTATTGGATATCAGAAGTCCATCTTTTCCCTGTAAGAATAGTAAGATCACAACATCAATGTTGATTTAAATTGACAAATAATTTGTGTTTTCAATGTCAAAGATTTTGGTTGATACTGAGTTAAAGACTTGGCTACATCAAGGAGACCAGTAATCTTAACCTTGAGGTAATCCTATATGTCGGCCTACTAGTATTTTTCATCAACGCTAAAAATAGTTCATTTATTTTACATACCCGGTTTTGGTGTGATTTCATTTAATTTGACACCTAGTTGTTTTGGCCAAACTTGTTTTCTCAATTCATTAGTTAATAAACCCCCTCTATTGATTGCAAAACTTTGCAACTCTGATACATCCACACCATCTTTCAAAGCTCGCAATATTTTCTTTCTCTTTGCTGCACTTCCTGCAATAAAATCCCCAGACATAATGTAATATATGTAAGACATATTTTTGCGTTCTAATCTAAACAATACATAGGCCTACATGTATATAATTAAACATGAATTATGCAAGAGGTAAATCTTCCTATTGCATGTCTTTCTTTAGGCCTGAAATGTTAAATGAAATATTAATTAGACATTTATTAACATGAAAAGATCATATCAGCTCTCGATGTCATGTTATCTGTTCGATTTGAATTGGATTTAAATCTGATCTGCCGTTCAACGTCTGTTGATGATTAAATGCAAAACTGGATAATCAAGACTTTTTTAATTATCGTGACAGCGCTAACAATGACAAAGATTTTAAAGTAAGATTTTCTCAGCTTAGAGTGAAGTAATTTGACTGAAATTTTCAGCACATTCGCTTTACATCATCTAGTTTTTGACTATTATAACTGCCAGCTCTTTATCTAATCTTCCATAATGTAACTTTAATAAATAGAACATAAATCATAGAGCTAGTGGTCACATTCCCTTTTCATCATCTAGTTTTAAACTATTATAATGAGAACTGCCAGCTCTCTAATCTTCCATAATGTATCTTTAATTATTTCCTTTCCTTGCCTTTGGCTGTTAATTTTTTATCTTTTTATCAGGCATCTAAGAAACTACAATATCCATAGCATTGTCACTTCTCAATACCAACATCTACACAGGTCTAGCAATTGTTTTTTAATCCTACTGACTAATAAAAAAGTCCATAGATAAAATATTTTTGACTTTAATTTAATGGTACAGAGTTTGCCAAAACAAATCATAAGTATAAGTAAAGTACTACACACAACGATTATTATATTTTGACCAAAATGGATCATATGTGATTTAATTTAGTCTAAGCACCTACCAGGTGATAGTTTTACGTTCTTATTTTTATTCTTGTCATCTTTTTCTGTCTTCGGTGGTATTACATCAGGTTCGACGATATCAGGTGATATAACGGATATAATTTCAGTTTGGGGATCGATTTCAAGCCAGTCATTTTGGTCGGATTGATTAAAATCCGACTCCTCTCCGTTCATGAATGAATCAAAAGTTGTCTACGTGACAGTATACTTTCATTTACACTGTTAAATCAACTAGTAAAGCTGACATGCTGTCACATTTGGAAAACAAATTATCAAAATTTCATCAATTTAATTTTCACCGACATTACAAATAAAGGGAGATAACTCTCATTAAATAAAAGTTTATTTTGGAACCGTCTAAAATCGTACAATGGACTCGATAACATTTTGAAATGTTTTATAATTCATTTACGCCATACGCTAATCCGTTAGTTTTAATATAGACCTTATAATATAATATCAATGATTTAAGATCTCCATCAACATTTGATTACAAAAACGATGCACCTGTACTTAAAATATTTCGTATATTGTATGTTGTCCTCAAGGGAGGTTCCGATGCAATATTGTGTGTCTTGTGTAATAATTGTCATATCGTTATAATTTTTATGTACACGTTTATATTGTATGCTGTCCTAAATGGATGTTTCGATGCAATAAAATCTTATCTTATCTTATCTTTTATAACATTCTTAATTTCCAATTAAACAGTACCGATACTGCACATAGCTCAAAGCGGCATTATGGAAGATTAGATACAGAGCTGACAGTTCTCGCTATAATGGTAAAAAAAAGAGAAGAAAATGTAACGGGAATGTGCTGAAAATTTCAGTCAATTTACTCTGAGCCGAGAAATACTAATTCTAATTCCGACGTGGTTTCCCCTTGTTAGTGGTGCAGAACGGAGGGCCTGACAAGGGCAGCTGTCTAGTCCTTCGGATGAGACGAAAAACCGAGGTCCCGTGTATACATTGGAATGCACGTAAAAGATCCCTTGGCAGTTGGAATTCTATATAAGAGTAGGCGATAGTGCCGCTGCCCGGGCAAAATTTCCCTCACAGCACACTGTATGGCATATGCCCGTCTTCATTAGCCCAGTATACGAGCAGAACAGTAGGACGTTAAACCCCATTTCATTTCATTTCATTTACTAATTCTAATAACACCGTAGCCTCGATTGTCATTGTTACCGTTGTTGCGATAATAAACAAAGTCTCGATTATCCAGTTTTATGGTTATTCATCAAGGCTGTTGAACGACAGGTGGGATTCAAATCTAATGAAAATCGAACCCATCAGATGGCATCGATATTTGATAATGGTCTTGTAATATTATTAAATTTAGCTCTTGCATAATGTATGTTTAACATATTTATAATAAAACAATTCCCACTTGAATAAAGATGAAAGCGTACCGCATAATTATATGATATGATAAAACCCGACGGCTACGCCGCCTAGGCTACGCAATAATTCTTTCCTTTCCAACTAGAAATGTCTGCCAATCCAGAATAGCGTACCACGTGCTCAAACGTCCCTTTCAATATATGAAGTCCATGCCCATATTTATGACTTTAGCGAGGGAAAACAATGTCTGAAGCAGTAATAGACCGCGAGTAGTGGTTTATAGTAACAAATCCTGACAAGGAAAGCGAGGGGCGGGGTAATGCCACGCTTAAATTGGCGAGATTTCAAATAATGCGTCCTGTACGTCATTAGAAATATCGTTTCGAAACGCATTACCACACAGAACGCATTACCCCCCCACCCCCCAATAAAAAAAAAAAAAAAAAATACCCCCTCCCCCCCCCCAAAAAAAACCCAAAACAAAACAAACTGTTCGGTAAATATTTTAGTCGTCCACTCATCACCATTTGTGATAGAATTAGAATTGTGATGATATGTATTGCGCATATACTCGAAAATGGTATTAATTGTTGCGGCGGACAAGACACGACGCCACTGCAATATTACAGTCACGCAATTCCGAGTTCTGAGAGGCATGTAAAAACATTACAGCGTCAAGTATAGGTAGTGATTGTTAGTTTTTATAATAGGCCTATTATGCATAGGATGCCAAATGTTGTCAAATTTATCATTCATATTGTACTGATATTCCTTTTACAAGGGATTCATATTCTCTCAAGTCCCAGAGACTCACAAATGCATTATGCTAGAGCTAAACCGGCCTATTTCAGGTATTTCCTTAGGCCCTATCTAAATTAATAATTAGACATTTAACTTACCAAGACCGTAATCAACTCTCGATGCACTCTGCGGTGTTTAGTGGATTTGAATACGTTTTGTGGTGGATGAAATAACCATTAAAATGGATAATCGAGACTTTGTTTATTATCATAGCAACGGTAGTAATGACGATAGAGGCTAGCCTAAAATTGAATCGGTAATATCCAGAGCCAGAGTTAAGTAATGTGACTGAAATTTTAGACATATTCTGGCAGCTCTTTAGGCCTATCTAATCATACCCAATGCCGCTCTTATTTAACCGTGTAATTCACAGGTAGAAGCAATCGGTTTGAGCAAGACGCACAAGTTGGTAGGCTAACATAGAGTTACGCCCCTTCCATTGCACGAATCAAGATTGTGAGAATTGCTGGAATTTCAAGTCTGGTGAACACAATACTAAAATATAGTAATTGCATTTCCATGGGTAGTATTGGAGAGAGACTGTTGTTTTTGTGCCCATTCTGCTTCGAATCTCAGCTATCAATATCGTGAAGCAATGATCCGTGAAAGCGCAGTGATTAAGGCACTGGCTCACTAACCAGATGGTCATGGATTCAATCCCGATATTGGTCTAGAAAGTTCCCCGGATATTTACATCGTTGTTTCCCCTTGTCAGTGGATAAGGACGGAAGGCCAGACAAGAACAGTGTCTAGTCGTTCAGATTACCCAATATGTACTCGGATGGACCTCAGTTTTCGACAAGGCACAGCTTTTTAATTGTCAGAAATGTTCGGGTAAGCATTGTGTGAAAATTCAGAATTATACGTAGATTTGAAAAAATTGATAGCCCTGTGCAGCTGGTGCGCGTAAATTCGCTGTCTGACAATGATATGTTTATAATATATTATATTAGATTATAGTTTGAAATAGCACATGAAAGGGTAACGCTGTCAATATTAAATTTCTGCTAAAATGTCTTTTTCATTGATTATGTATAAAAAATACAATGTACAAAGTCCTAATACCGGTAATGATAAAGTCAAAATACCTCTAAGGGCAAAGTTAAATGTTTTATTGGAAAATGCTGTTTTTGACGTGTCTACATTTTACATTTCCCTCATTACATTTTATATTTGCGTTCTGTCGCATCACAGTTGTCCTTTACGCTTTCTAGATATCATCTTACGCAGAGCACTAAGTTTGATATGCAAATGTAGGATATCACGTGACTTATTAACATATACGGAAACGAGGCCGAGATCAACCATGCAGACTATAAGCCAGCAAGCACACTATATAAGGTATTTACCACACGATACTGAGGCAATCAACATGGCAAACTATAAGAAATTCGCTGGACCACCGTGCTTGCAATGAAATCGTGTGATTGGTATGACTAATCCGAGCCTTCGACAAATAAGATAAATTGAAAGTATAGTCTATATTTAGTAATTAGGTTACTGTTGGACAGCGACACATTTCTTTCGACAAAACAACGAGGATTTTTCTTTCTCTAAAGTAGGTAAGCAAATAACTGATAGATTCAAAGAGACACAGAAACATACGATAACTGGATTTTCGTATTAAAACCCGTATTTTGACATATCTTAATAAGTCATGTGATATCCCTATTTGCACATCAAGGTTAGTGTTCTGCGTAAGATGCTTTGTAGAAAGCGTGAAGACAGATGAGATTCGGGCAAATGTAAAATGTAGACACGTAAAAAACCTCAAAAAACACCCCTTTCAAATAAAACACTTGTCATTTGACACATTACATTGAACGTTTTACATTTAACTTTGGCCTTAGAGGTACTTTGACTTTATCGTTACCGGTATTGTGACTTTGTACATTGTACTTTTTACACATAATCAATGGACAAGACATTTTAGCCGAGTATTTAATATTGGCCGCGATACCCTTCCATAATAGCGTGCTTTGGTCGACTTAATGCTTTGCAACTTGAATGGAAGTTTTATTTCTTGTCTAGTTCTAACCTAAACATTGTCACCTTAAGTAAACCTAGTCCATTATTATCTTTGTACTTGAAGCATTAAGACGTAAAATCACAGGAAAAGAAATTAGTCCTCTTTATGAACAGTAAATTCTTTTCCCGCAATTAGACTACTTTGCTACACATTTAGACAAAAATATCACTAAAAATGTCTTCTTTCGAAGATTTCTCTAATGGAGATCGAAGCCATTAAAATAAAATGTCGATTCTGGACCTAGTCGTCAAATAGGTCAAGTGCTACTTTAGAAAAATAAGATAGTCGACGAACAAGTAACTCTATCAATATCCGATAATGGTTAAGTGCTCCCGACATTTTAGATTCAAGAGATGAAAAAAAGGATCTACTTTATTCTGAATTGCCGGGGAGTTAATGAAAATTAAGTGCTGTCGTCTCCTGCTCAGTATACTCAATAACGAAACAAAACGCTTATTATGGAGCGGAAATATTTAATCGAAAATAACAATAGCCGCCATAAAGAGTCCAGCAGTAGTTTGACAGGCAATATCCTAGCGTAGACATGTTCTGTTCGCTCTTCACTGATCGCATTCATCAAAATATCTATAGACACAGTTGCTGTTGAATATCTTCCATTTAAAAACTGTCACTTCAAATTATTAGCGCATAAAGATTCAGTGCTTTAGAAGAAATTGTTTCGAAATTACAATTTCGTGTCCTTGGAAAATATCGCCTATATTCGCTGTGTTGTGTCAAAATAATCCGAGGTAAAGACTAACCGAATGGCAAGTGGGCAGAGTGAACCTGATGACATTATTACTGAATAATATGTAATTGTAAAACTTGATTATAATGGAATACTAATGTTATAAGATCTGCAGTAAAACGGTAATCGAATGAAAATATACTGGTGAAAAACAATTTGCTTCATTACAAAACTTCGACAAATGGCAAGAACGTAAAGGAAAATCAATGCAGATGGAATTGTATAACGTGGAATATCTCTTTCTATAGATTAAATAGTAGACGTAGATAATGTTGTTTTGGTTTCAACCACTGAAGGTCATTTAAAGGAATTACAAACTATAATATTGCGAAAGATTTATGGGGTTGAACGTCCACTCGACACAGGACACAAACAAGGTCATTTCGAGACT